GTAAAAACCTTCAACTACAGCAGCAGAGAAATAACCACAAAACAATTGTTTCTGTGTTATACCACTTCCTCTTAAGCAACAATGTGCCAACAAGTTAGCCAAGTCATTTCAGCAAGGTGGACCCCAAAACTTCCTCCTAAGTATCACACACTAATGTACTCATTATCCATTTTTACCACATCATTTTCACCACACTAAATGCAAGAAGCAGTAGCAGCATTTAACGAACAAACTGCTACTTGCCGATCATGGTTAACTCGTCCTTACGAAATATGTGGGATGCATTCTAAGCCCTCTGTTAGGTTGGAAAGGTCATAAGGACTCAGGGGATCCTCCTCACAGTTCCATGGCATACGTAGGACATTTTAATGTTTAAAAAAAAAAAAAAAAGCTCTGCATATGTTTAAATATGTGCACAGAACTCGTTTTACACACAGAAACATATATCCTGCAAATATACACTTTTTTTTCTCTCTCTTTAGTTTAACAGAATAGAGGAGGAAGAGTAAAGGTGATGCCTAAAGACAAGACACGCACCTAGAAAAAATCCTGTAAATCTGACAGCATGTTTTCTTAGGGATTTTAAGTCTGCAACACACTACTACTACAAAGGATTTGGCARCTTATTTCACAGTCTTACCCTCAACTATCTCTTCTGTCTGTCAGTGTTCAGACTCAGTGTCATTATAACTAAGGCATTAGCCACACCTGCAAGCATCTTCTTTGTGCATGAGAAATAGAACACTTCTCTGCAAAACGGAGACAGCATATCAGATTCCAGTTCTTAGAAGAAATTAGCAGAGCCACATCATGCTGGGAGCTGGCAAAAAGGGGGAAAAAAAAAGGGATTCCTTGCTCATGAGTGTGCAGAAGTAACTGGAAGTTAGAAGATCCAAACAACATGTACATTCCATTTCAGTGGCATGTATATATGCATAAGCAGGAGAGCAGGGCAATACATTTAAATAGAATAAGCTACGCATTACAAGTTACGTGGGAACATGTGGGAGCTGTCCTGGAGGCCTGGCCTAAGCACATCTTGGTGCGCGCACTGTCATTTTGGCATATTCCTAGGTGCTTGTCCCACAGTAATTTTTTGAAGTACACATATTAGTTTATGTCACTAGTATTTCTAGAATAAATCATCTTTCTCCTGCCAAGATCCCATGGAAAAATCTAACAGTAAGTGTGCTGAGTGTACTAAGTTTTTCTGCCATCAGAGTCTGGCTACTGGGGAACTTCTGGAACAATCCTCCAGGAATTTCCTAAGGCCACATCCTTGCTATTTGGGGCATTTTGARTGGAAGAGGAAGACAAAAAAATAACACTCATGTCTTGGACAACATCTACAGCCTGAAGGAGATCTCCACCAAGTGCTCTTCCAAATGGACTTSGCCAAGATGTATCAGAGGATTCTCATCTGGAAGAGTATTGACACTAGTCAATCCATACCACTAGRCCAGGAGCCTAGGTTGGTCCATAGCGTGGCTTGCAAATATAGCATACCTAGAGGAAACCACTTAACTTCCTGTATCTTGGACAGCAGGAGTGGTTTTGATCATGAAATACCTTGCTCTAATCATCTGAGGAGGAAATGAAAGGGAAGACAAAATAGCCTAAGCTTCCCTGAGAACTAAGACAGACCCAGGTAAGTTGTGGCTGGCCTAGCCAGATGACAGAAAGATGATGCTTTATGCATACGTGTGGAAAAACTGCACTCAAAAAGAATAAATGGGCATAAGGCTGTTTTAGTGACTATCTTCCCATCCTAAAACAAAGGCCATCCTAAATTAATAATAGATGACATTTAAAAAAATTCAAAGTGTCATTGGATTAATAAAGAGCTGGTGGGCGGAAGGAAAACAATGCTAAGGAGGAGGAAGGTGAATTCAGGTGAATTTTCTATTACAAAGGGACTCATCAGTGCTTAACTCTTCCTCCTTTATATTCATTTCATTAACACAATTACTGGACTGAAAGAAGAAATCAGAGTATTACTGCAAAAAGATAGCAGTTTGTAAAAGTATTATTCATATACTGCTAGCTCTCAGTTCATGAAGCAATATATTAAGCTGTCTTAGAGCTTTCAAATTTTGAGGTACAAAAGATTTTTCTCTAGCTGTCCTCCAAACGTGTAAGGTGTAAGGCGCATACCTGTGCACTTCTCTCATTTACACATTTACACAATACAATACCACRTGGCTTACAGGAAGGTGGTTGGGCCAGGGCAGCTAGGAAAAAAAATGCATTCTTCTTGACTAATATTCTGACTAGTGTTAATCTATCTTCACAATGTAACCCTCATTCTCAACTTTGGTCCATACTCTTCAGTCCGCAGGTCTGGTATGTATTATACATATGTTTTACAAACAAAGCAAATGACAGGTCTGCAAGGCAACTTAGCCAGAACAAACAAAACAGAATAAAACAGAACAGAATAAAAAACAGGAAGCTGATGAAACAAAACTCTTTCTCTTYGCCATACTGTCTTCCAGGATAAATGTACTGTTATCTTTGTTTCTTAATATACTGTTTATAAAGATGCTATCATATCACCAAATAGAGAAAAAAAAAAAAAAAAAAGTTATGCAATTGAGCTGTGAGACTATGATATTCAGTACAGTATTCCTATCAGGAAGGAAGGAAGACCAAATTATGTACTGGCAGACATTTAAGGGATAATCATTAATACTCTTCACCACCACCACACCATCCACTTAACTAATAGTTACTAATCTTTTATTCAAAGAGAAAATCTCTGCCATATATCTGAAGATAGACTCAAGCCTACTAAGGATTTATTCTGAAAAATGCCAGGATGTGTGTTCAGGCCATTTAAAAGAATGTGAAAATATGGCTAGAAAAGGGTAGTTTCTAAAAAGACTGTCACGGAAAATATTAATCACAAAGAGCCCCAAATTAAAAACAACATTATGAAAAGAAGGAAATGTGTTATTACCATAAATACATCATTATAACAGAGAGAAAAACAAATTAATATTTTGTTACAGATGTAAATACATTAAGAAACATTTGGACAGACTGTTAGGGATAAATGCTGTCGCAGCTTCAGCTTTTATTTTTTAAGGAAATGAGCTCATGAAAGAGTGAAAAAGAAATGAGGAATGACTCCTCAAGCTTTTCGTTAGATAAAGGACTGCGAAGGAAAGAAGTCTATTCTTGCTCCACCCTCAAAGGAAATATTGCAAACAGGCAATATTACAAGTAGACTTTTAAAGAAGTGAAAGGCACAACCTATTCTTTGAGAGAAGAGAAGTAGAGGAAGACATTCGGAGGAAAAGTTCAGCAGCTGYTCATACAGGACGTATTGATCAGATATGGGCCAAGGTGAGCAAAGGCGCATGCCCCCTTTTGTGGTGCTCAATTATATGAAAAAGCTGCTATTCCTTGATTCAAGAAAAGGAAAATAGAAAAGGTCCTTCCAGTAAGATTTAGAAGGATTTTCATGGGAATTGTGTTTCTTCACTTACTGTGCATATATCGATGAAGCAAGCTTATCAGAAAGGAGTTTTGGACATCAGGTACATTATCTGAGGTAGAAATGTTGTCTTTTTACATGGGAAGGAAAGGAAAATCTACAGCTATTTGAAGATGCCAGACATAAGCAGTGTAAATGAGAGACTGATAAATCTGACATAAGAGTATCAAAGACAAAGCAGAACCTGGAAAAGGTACCATTGCAAAGGCTGAGGGAGACTACAATATATAGAGAGTTYTGAAACTTGACAGTAGAGTAGAAAGGATTTTTAAAAAAGGAAAAAAAAARRWTTTTTTTTAATTGCAAATTGCACAGTTTAAAAATTCTTTTAAAAGATCCCACGTAGCCTTTTCAAACTTGGMAGATAATTCCTGCCCTTCTAAAGAGAAGTCTCCCTCGATCCCAGCCTTGCTCTACAACAGATGTGCTCCATTGATAAATTTTTGAAGGATTTCTTTTTTTTTAAAGTAAGTATGTTCTTGAAAAAGCTAAGTTTGTATGGCCTACCTAGATTCAATAAAAAAATGCATTTCCCATGTTTGACCTCTGACTACATTGCCATGGCTACTATTGTAGTTACTTGAAGGATTACCTGAACTTGATAAGCTTAAGACCATGATGCAACAACATCTTTCCATGGATCTGATTGAGTACAAGGTAATGTTTTTTACTCAGTAATGGCACAGGATGGCTCTGTTCCATTACTAGGGAACACACTGTTACTCCTTCCTGCTCCGTGTTTTCAGGTGAGGAACAGTAAAACAATTTTTAAAAGCATACAGTATCCTTAGAAAAAAATAGCTATTTTTCTTCTGTACCTGTGTACTTCAATAARCCATCAAGCTACTTCCTACTAAAGAACCTTCCATGAGTTTGGCTCTGCTGATGCCAGAGCACACGCAGCAGCTTTCTGCAACATTTTATACACATGCCTTAGAAGTGCTACTGCTCCAATTCTCTCCTACTGCAAAATAACAGCGAAATTAGCATATCCTTGATAGCTGCTTCCAAAAGATAACAGATATCAGTTATATCAGAGATATATGAAAGGTAAAAGGAGCTAGAGATCATGTCATAGTTTTAAATACATAAATGTTTCTCACTTCAATTAGATTTCTTCATTTCTTATTCAGAGACCATGAAGCTGTGCCTCTTTTAGTACACCTTTATCACGGATGACCCCTTGAAAGACTAAGCTCTGTTCAGTTGTGTTGTTTATCCAACTCACTCACTCATACTTGATTCTATCATGTTTTTTTCCTCTTAGATTTCCTTCTGATTCTTCTTTGCTATGGCATATGCTAGACCTTTTATATTTAGTTATGTGGATAGCCCCTAGCAGTCTCAAGAAGGGAAACCTCTCTCAAAAGAAAAGGATAAAATACAAATAATTGATTCCTAAAAGAGGGAAATCTCACTTGGCTACTAGTTACCTACAGAGAGTAACATACAACTCTTGGTAGTGAGTCCGTTCTTCTTCCTTGCCAGAAAGCCTTGGATGTATCCTCAGCTTTTCCTTGTATTCTCATTTCTTTCCACAGGTATGACTCAGCCAAGTATCAACTGGCATCTGAAAGAAAATGCAAGAGACCATTATACAAGTAAATTTTCTATTGAAGAGCTGATTGTGAGGAGAGGTCAGGCCTTTACTATCACCATCAATGGAGCAGGACAGCCTGAGCAAAACTTAATATTCATTGCAGAAATAGGTATAGCTCTCAATTTCTTTCTCGGAGTTAGTAATGCCATCTGCTGACATTCTTTTAGCTTGATATTCACTATATGAGAAAAAATGCCTAAGAGACAACATGATGTTTACATAGCCATGGGACTGATTGAGGTGATTTTATATTACTCCGACTTCCCCTAGCAGTGATAGCTTTCTTCAGTTTCAAACATATGGCAGGACCGCAGCTACAGGGGATGGTGGTGTTTATTGACAATTAAATCTCTATTTCAGACACCTGAAAAACAAACAAAAGTGTTGTTTATTTGCTTTAAAAGGTCCAAAACCTTCTGAACAAGCCAAGACTCAGGCCACCTTTGGTATCTCCAGTACAGTGAGCAAGGAGAGCTGGAGTGCAGTTCTGAAGTCCACCACTTCCAACTCTGTGAGCATCTCCATTTACAGCCCAGCTAATGCAGTCATAGGACGTTACAAGCTGATTGTGCAAAATACTTCAAGCGGCAGTTCCTCCACTGCAAACCTCGGCACCTTCGTTTTGCTCTTTAACCCTTGGTCTTCAGGTATGAACACAACCTTTCTGCTGAAAGAAACAATTCTCTCATTGTTCCAGTATATTTGCAACTTATCTACTTGATTTTTTTTTGATTTTTTTTTATTTTTTTTTCCCCACACAGGAGCTGAACCACATAATCTAGCACTGAGAACAGGATATGGTTTAAAATTTTCTTAGGACCTTCTGGTATATAAAAATCAGCTCTTTATCACACACATACTGGAGAGCTTCTTACTCTGAAAGACACAGATTAAATTCTGTTTGTGCCAGAGCATCCCTGCTTTTGCCCAAGTTTAGAAGTATATCCACTCTCAGAGAAACCATGAAAAAGGACAAATCTACCAGCTGTCATCTTCCAGATGAGAAAGGTCCATCCCTCTTTCTCCTCTCTAATACATTCCCCTCTCTCTAAATGTAGGAAAATTTGTTTCACCATCTGTTTAAAGCAATGAGAACAACAAAGGATGGATATCTGCAAATGTTCTTACTGACGTTCTCATACAGAGTTTTCATTTATTTTGCCAGATGTGATGTTACAGACCTGTGCTTTGGCTTTTTAGGTGATGATGTGTTCTTGCCTAACAAGGCTGAATGTGAGGAGTATGTGCTAGAAGAGTTTGGCATCATTTTTGCAGGCAATAAACATCATATCAACAGCTTTGGATGGAACTTTGGCCAGGTAAATGCATAGTTGAAACTTTAGTTTTTTTTGCTTTTGTTYTCACATAAGCTGGGTGACAAGGGCTTCTTCAGTTTTCTCAGCTTATCACAGTCACCCACCTTAGAAGAACAGTAAAGTGCACTATTGAAATTAGAACTCAAGTCAAGCCCTGCTAATTCATTAATAGGAAGGTCTGTAGGACCGATCAGTTATACGGCTTAGGTCTCCAAGATGCAACCTGCAGAAATCTTTGTGTCTGCTATGTGGAAACACTGGGAAGCACAGACCCCGCTTTCACTATATTAATTCCAAGTTTTCAAAAGCCCTTCAAATTCTAATCTTCACAGCTGTTGAGGCCAGCTTTTCATGGTTATTCCTGGTTGAGCTATAATTTCACTCAGTGATATGAAAAACCTTAATCAATTATTTGGCTCTCTATATTTTGATTTTTAGTATAGTACAACAATCTGTGGTCCCAATACACTAATATATTTCTGTAACATAGTTTCAAGGAGATATTCTCAATATTTGCCTCTCCATGCTGGATCGAAGTTTAAGCTACTACCAGGATCCTGCCACAGATGTATCTCACCGAAATGATCCCAAATATGTGGGCCGTGTTCTCAGTGCAATGGTAAGCAAGCTACTCAAAACTGCAACCACTATCTATCCTGTTAGTTAAAATGAACATGGAGTCACTTCTCAAGCAATTTTAGGCCATTATTTTTGCGCATCAGAAACAAGGGCCAGAGAAGCTTCTGGGTATCTCTCTGATTTTAGCCTACCAGATTTATTTCATCTGGGGTATTCGGATACTTTTTTGTTTGCTTTTGAAGTCTAAGTAGTGGAGTGGTATGTAGAAAGAGTTTTAATTTAAAGCCTCCCATTTCATGTACACTGACAGTAGCACCAGATCAGATCAGACCAGTCACAGCTCTGACAGTCTGTCTTCCCAGGGATGGAGGTTTCATAGATTCTCTGGCTGACCTGTCCAGTGCTGCATTACCGTTGTAGTGAGGAGTTTTTCTCATGTGTCCAATACAACTTTGGCAAGCTGCAACCTTCTGTTGTTGCCTCTTGTTATGTAATCTGCCAGTACTGAGAAAAGTTTGGCTTTGCCTACTTTGTCTCTCTACTCTCTCTTTGTCAGCCACTTTCCTAAATTTAGTAATGTCTATAGCTTTGCTGAATGTTCCCTCTGTGTGATCAACTAAGCTTCCTCTGAAAGATATGGGAACAGTATTGGATACATTGATGACGTCATTCTATCATACAGGAAGGTTCACTGCACATTGGTGTTTGTCTTCTTGACTGATATTAACATACTTGTGTGGGAAAGACGGTAGTTAAATGCTGTCTGWTATTTGAGAGGACAAACATTTCATTTCTTTAAAAAGATATGACTTCCTGAAGGCCAATTAAGTGTAGCTTTTGTCACTAGAACTTTTGACCCTAAAACATCATTTAAAGCTTTTCTTCCCTCATATACCCACACCGATTTTTCTATTTTAAACTCTCTATTTATACTTTCATCAATTTAGTGAATATCTTCACAGGTCAACAGCAATGATGACCAAGGGGTGGTGCTAGGAAACTGGAGTGGAAGTTATGAAGGTGGAAAAAATCCAAGCAGCTGGACTGGAAGTGGTGAAATCCTGCAAAACTGGAAGAAATCAGGATTCAAGCCTGTTAGATATGGACAGTGTTGGGTTTTTGCAGCAGTATTGACTACAGGTATTTTTTATGTAACACAGCACTGCAGAGATTCTGGTATAGGCAACACTAACAATAATGTCTACCTGAAAGTCTTTCAAGATATTATGTTATGTATCTTATATGAAGCTTAACATTCCAGCAATACTTCTTTTTGAACTATGGCTGTTTATTGACTCTTTAGTGCTTAGATGTCTGGGGATTCCCACTCGAACGATTACAAACTTCAGTTCTGCTCATGATGCCGATGAAAATTTGCGTGTGGATGAGTTTTATGATGCTTCTGGAAATCATTTGAACAGGGGAGCTGACAGTATCTGGTAAGGCTCTACAGTATTTAGTTGTAAGACCTATCGATGAAGAACAGGGTCTGCAGGTAAACAATGTAGATTATAATGACAAATGCTCTCTTGATTTCTTAAAAATAGTCCTCCAAACAATGACACATACATGATTAAAAAAAAAAAAAAAAAAGTAATCCTATCAAACTCAGTGCTAAATGTGAGCAGCACTTTAGCCAAAAGAAGAAATACACCTGCGATTATACAGATGACTGAAAATTTCTGAGACTACATTGAAATATCAAACAGGGGGACTTGATTTAATTTGGAAACACTTTACAGAAATAGTTCATGTTAACTGCTGAAGTTCAACAGGACTGTGCCCACCTTTTTTTTCTTGCAGTAAGATCATTTAAGCCTGCTATTCAATGCACTTTTCAGCTCTGATCTGAGAGATCAAAAAATTAATCACAGGGAAAATGGTCAGTCTCAGCTAAAAACCTCACAAAATTAAAATATTTGATACATTTAACTAAGATGAGGGGTGTGAATAGGAGTTTAGAGGAAAACGGCCTTTGTCTTCATTACTTCTTCTGGAAGCTTGCCTCCTCCAGAAGACAGTGTTATTTTTCCTTTTTTTTTTCTGGGGCAGATTCACCTTGAGAGTGTATCATTGTATCCATAGATAAGACATGCATATGATACAGCTGCAAAACATGGTATTTTAGAAAAGTAGTCCCTATTCACACTTTTATGAATATGAGTAACAAAAACAGCCAGAAAACAGCTTCTAGCTACATACTAGAAGACCCTTAAGTGAAAGGACTATTTACAGACTCTTAATATACTGACCAGTGTTGGCCAGATCAATGTTAAGCAAATCCTGGATGTGGCAGATCTGCCCCAGCAGATCCTTGATCCTTGGGGCTGTAAGCAGATGAAGTAATTTTGTAGCAGTACTGAAGTACCCTAATGCTCTGCCATGGGCCAGAGATAAGACCCTCAGAAATCAACAGGGAAGAGAAAATGTAAAGATAACAAGACTCCACTGATTTACCAAAAAAACAGGATAGGTAGGAAGAGGCAAAACCAAAATTTGGATGTAAAAGTAGATATACCTACTAGTAGATTGCTTTGTTCACTCTTAAATATAGGAATTTCCATGTTTGGAATGAAAGCTGGTTTTCTCGCAGTGACTTGGGCCCTTCATACAGTGGATGGCAAGTTCTGGATGCTACTCCCCAAGAAGAAAGTGGAGGTACACAAAATTAATTTCAAGAATAATGTTGAAAAATAATAAAGTCAGTTACTTTCGGAGGGACAAAGAATTTCAACCACTGTCAAAGTGATTTATTTCCTTGCCCAGAAATAGAGTGGCAGAAGAGAATACATTCTCTGTTTCACTAGAGAAGCCTCAGCTCCTCTGTGGATGCCAAGCTAGGCTTCTAGCACCAGTCTTTCTCAGTTAATCCTGCTTTTCCAATGYAGGTATGCAGAGATATTGAAAATTAAAGGAGACTATAAAATAAATCAAGTCTACTTTCATAATAAATACAAGATACATTGATGATTAGCCTAGTATAAGTCACTGTGTGAATGGAAAGGCTGGAGTAGAACACCAGGGCTCTATAATCCAGGGGTCGCTGATAAATAATTTCTGTCTCGGTACAGGCCTGCTATGAAATAGTTGATTAGTCCTAAATTASTTTTTTTTCCTTGATACTGTAGGGATTTATCGGTGTGGTCCTGCCTCACGGAACGCTATCAAAGAAGGAGACATAGATCTGGACTATGATTGTCCGTTCGTATTTGCAGAAGTGAATGCAGACTGTCTATACTGGAATTATGATCCTACAAATGGAAAAAAAACTTTAATGTTCTCTGAGTCCACAGTAGTTGGTCAATTCATCAGCACAAAGGCAGTTGGCAGAGATGACCGTGTAGATGTCACCAACGATTATAAATATGCAGAAGGTAAAGAAAAATTCTGGTTCTTCTGGTTACATAGATGTTTCATTACAGAACTTACAGAAACTTTAGGATAGGAGTCTGTTGGTGGGCAATTCTGCTCATATATAAGGTAGGAACAAAATTTATACTCAATTTCTTAAATCCTAATAAAAAGGAGAAAGACAAGATTAAAGACTAAAATATCTGCCCCACCATTTCTGATGTGAAGCTGATCTGTGGGATCTGAATAAGGTAAGTCCAATTATTTTAAGTAAAATACTCAACTATTCTGTTTGTCTACACTAATAAGCACTGTCTCTGCTATGTTAAAATCAGCCTACAGCACTGCTATTTGTCAGCAGAGGAAATGAGTATTACAAAAACCTAAGCTAAATCACCCCCTAGCTCAAGAGAAGCAACATTTTGGAGAGTCAGACAACATGTAATTTCATCAAACCTTTGAATCAGAAGTGGCAAAAATAAAATAATCATTAACTGAATTTTTAAGTGCAGACAATGAACACAGCTATCAGAAATATATATCCAGAATGGTGAAAAGCAGAACTCAGATAGCCACCTTCCAATGCCATCAACACTTCACCTTATAGATGGGTCTTTTCTGTATTAGCAGATAGAAATTCACATTTATCAGTATTACAAACATAAGAATGGTTAGAAATGGGAAATGTGAGAAAATTTGGACTGCAGATTTGATGCCACAAAGAATTTCTATTAAAGGAATAGTGACACAAATTGACTGTAGATCCAGAAATTGATATGTGGCTGTAAAAAAAATTGGGTTCTGCTCACCTGTTCACGTTTAAGCATAGACACTGTGTTCTACTGTGCAGATGTTCAGTCTGTAGCAGTAGATTATGTTTAGTTTCTAGCAAAAGCATAAAAAGAGACTCATTTTAACTGATGAGGATGATTTTCATGATTCTCACTAACAGGTTCCACAAAGGAAAGAGATGTTTTTAAGAAAGCCCGTAAGAAGCTGGGACTCGAGGACAAATTTGATCCCACAGCACCAACACCAAAGGAGACTGATCAAAAACCTGACATCTCAGGGAAGTTCAAGGTGGCTGGCACTTTAGAAGTTGGAAAAGATCTCAAGCTGATTCTGGTTCTTGCAAATTTAACTACTGATGATAAGACTGTTCAGGTAAATATGACTGCTTGCAGCACTGTATATACGAGGAGACCTGTTCATGAGATCTGGAAGGACTCCGTATCTGTCACTCTGGCTCCTCAGGAAGGTAATTTTAATATAGTTCTTAWTTGGAATTGTGTGACTGCTTTTTCAGTATATGAGCATTAGCTTTGAGATAGTAAATTGCAGGGAAAAAGCTACAGCAAACTGCAATCCTCATGTTCTACACAAAAGAGTCTGAAGAAGCCACGAAAGAAAGCACTGCAYTTGAATTTTGTGTACTTTGTGCACAAAGCACAAAATTCATATTTTGAAGAATATGTATTTTATGTGAAAAGAAGGTGCCAAGTAAACATAAAGTTTCAAAAATTTTAACAAAACTTGCAAAGAAAAGACAAGGAAAACATACAAAGCATAGAAATTAACTCCATCTGAATGTCTCCTGGTCAATTACAAGGGGTCTTACTGATAGATAATGGGACACACCTGACAGCAGAAGCAAGAAACACAATCCTTTAGCATCTTAGAATACTCCAGTATGAGGAATACTCCAAAATATGTAGGGAAAGAGAGTGATTATCCAAGCACAGTTGAAGAGTAAGGGACCTAGGACCTTTTTCAAATGGTGTTTAATATGCCTAAATAGGAGTATTATTGGGAAATACGAAATTAAGTTAGTGATAGAAACTTGGGATAACAGATGCATCAAAAACTTTAAAGGAGAAGTAAAAAATGACTGCTTCACTATTGATACTATATTGTGTTAATCCTAGGCTTTGAGTTACTATCAAAAATTGGAAAAAATGTTTATCTTCCTTAATATGTAATTTTGTGGAGTTGGGATCTATCAGCTTCCTCTAAAGTATAAGAAACTGAACTCTTAGTGAAGACAGAGCTTACACACAGATGTTCCTAACAGCATTAYAGTTAGGTACCTTGTGGCATCTTGTGCTTACACACACTGCATAACTACTGGCTGAGTTTAGGATCAGGAGGGAAGATTTTCAGCATGTCTGATGATAGACATTTGAAGAGATTTTTGCCCTCTTCTGTCAAGTACAGCATGCACCATTTGCTAGGATTTGTGTTTAAATCCCTTGCTATTGGAACAATTTAGCCATTTACAACACTGTTTCTTGTTCTTTATTGTGACACTTTACACTGCAAACTTGCCTTGTTTTTTTTCCACATCGGGCTATGAAAGATAATAGAAGTGCAAACACATAATTTAACCTGTGTGTTGTATACTATGAGCAAGAATGACTGATGAGTCATACCAAAGCATGTCTTACAACAAAGGAGAGGCAACCACTAGTCAGTTCATTACACTCCATCTGTCTTATCTGTCAGAGCAATGGGGAGAGACACAAGTCAGACAGTATGGTAGTAAGGGATGGAGAAGGGATTGTAGTGAAGAAATCATCCTGCCTCTGACTGATAGATCTGCAAGAGTTGAATTTGCAGTGATGACTGAAGGGTCTTCCTAGTCACAGACACAACATAGAAAGAAGATGCTAATAAAAGTATGAAACAACTGTTGACTTATAAAAGTACATATCAATTCCCCCTCCCTTTTTATTACAGAGAAACAATTTCCCATTCAGATATTGTACACTGAATATCAAGAACAATTAACTACAGACAACACAATTCAAGTAACGGCCTTATGTCATGTGGCAGGTGGGATTCAAGTGCTAGTACAAAGAGATATAATCCTGGACAACCCTAACATTGATATACAGGTAAAGTGCTATCCCTTTGCTACTTAATCCAACAGCAGAGAAAGGGAAAAAATGGGGGGGAACTCATCTCTTACACACACTTTCTTTTCTACAAAGAGATGTTCTGCTCACATTCTGCCATGCTCCATCCTACTGTCTCATAATATGGCCTCTGCTGAAAGCTGAGGAGGCTTGGAAAGAAAAGATTACAAAGAATTCCATCTTTCAAGTATTTTCTTTGTACAGGTACTRGGTGAGGCAGAATTAAATAAAGAAGTGGACGTGGAAGTGATATTTACCAATCCTATTGATACGGAGGTCACGGACTGTGTTCTGCAGGTGGAAGGCTGTGACCTGCTCAAAGGAATCCTCGAGATAAAGTAAGCACAGAGAGGGCTTCCTGCCGTTAAAGATAAATGAGCTGGCACATAGGCGCAAATTACTTTGAAGTAAAGAGTGGAATGAAACTGAATTTTCTTCATGTTGTAACTTGAGAGGTCTGCTACGAAGGATGTCCCTCATAGTGAAGCACGTTGCAATTATGTGCCCTCCCAAACTTTGGGGCCTTAAGCCCAGGTTGCATGGAGACTTGGTCCAAAGCTGTCCTAATTGAACAGAAGCTATTTGCCTCCCTATCTGGTAGGGCTCCATGGTTCCAGCAAAAAATATATATGATACTGTRCAATAAATTTTACCGAGGCTCTCTGTGCAGCTACAGGGCAGATGAGTTTAGCTTTTGTGTTCTGATTACAGAATCAACAGTGGTGCACTTGACTGTTCCTACCTACCCTATATCTAAATAATATAATATTTTAGCCAAGATTTCTTTCATTTTATAAAACACAGTGCATGTGTTCAGCTTTGTAAGCAATGTGCATTTACCTCAGCCAGCTAGACATGTATGTGAAAAACAGACGTACCAGTGGCTCTGTTTTGTGCTCAAAAACAAATGCAGATTGTTTGGACACAAGCTGTCATCTAAAAGGGCGGTCATGCTTCTGAAACATACAACCTCAAGTATGCTCTATCTATCCATAATGTTTGTAGGCACAGTAAATCACAACTAAGGACAATTATCTTTAAAGAACATATTAAACCACAACCTCCATTACAAAGTCACAGCAGCTGCTACATAGGTAACTAACTTTGGTTTACTGAGGCCTAGAATTTAGACACAATTGACATTCATTAAGCAGAAACAAAGAGAATAGGAAAATGGTGATTACTACRGTAAAACTCTCTTTTCCCCCAAAACAAAAATGACAGGCACAATGATTTTCAAGCTTTTCACTTTTAAGTGAAAATTTTTTAGTATTTCACAGTTGAAGCATAAAATTAAGTTGCAGTCTGTCTCCGATGTTGTACACAAACTTGCATACAAACTTCTTTATGCATTGGCAAATGCAGCTGCTTTAAAAAAATGCCTAGGATCTGGCAATGTATGTTATAACTAAACATGCATGCATGAGCATGCCCATACACCCCTATACAGCAACTTAACATTGTCATTTGCACACAGACAACTAGGAACGGTCTATCTCCTAACTTATCTCTCATGAGGCAATTTAGCAAGTCCATGTTATGAACTACCTGCAACTTCATCCCCTAGGCAAGGCAAGACAATATTACAGGATAAGGCTGTTTGGAATGACCATAAACATGAGCTTTCAGTTAAAAATCCTACCGTTTTAAAACATTTTAATTTCCATCTAGAATTTCCTGGYGCATGAGTACTTCATTTTTTTGGTACCACAATCTATTCCTATTTAGGAGTTTATATTCCCATTGTTCATTGCCTCATCTCTTTTATTTTTTGTAATTTAACCATCTCTTTTACATCTTCTGTTCTACATGAAGTTTGATCTCTCATGATATTAACGTTTTCCTTTGTGTGCTTATCTGGTTCACTGCATCATATATTTGCTAGAGATCGTAATGCATGGGGTTGCATATTTAAGTACATGTCAGATAGCTAAGTCTTATCAGTCTTTTCACGGCCATCTTATTAATTCCACAGAGCTGATAGAAATAATGAAGAAGCTCAAGCACGATGCATAAGGTTGTCTTCAGCTAACATTTTCTCTTTGTTTCCCATTTTTAGGGTACTGCCACTGAAAGCTGGTGAGAAATCTAGGACAAAGTTTCAAATCACCCCTTCTGAGAGAGGCCTCAAGTATCTACTTGTTAATTTCTCCTGTGACAAGTTTGCAGATATCAAAGCACATAAAGTTATAAATGTGATTGACTAAGAGGAAGACAATAAATGATCTGTTTCTGAATAACCTGAACAAAATAATATATGAAGTCCATGAAAAATAAACCATATAATTGCTGCTTCTGAAACAAAATAGTCCTTGCAATAACAAGTTACTCACCAGATTTATCTTTTTTTTTTTTTTTTTTTTTTTTTTTTTTTTTTTTTTTTAATTTTAAATAAACCAAGGAACAATTAATCCTTTATGTACTGGTTGTAAGTGTCCATGTTATTAAATAGAGCATCTTACATTCTATCCATAGAGTGACTTTTACCAGTTTTTCTTTGGAAATCTTTCTTTCTGATTCTAGATGTTTTAACACAAATAAACATACGCTTACTCCTTCAGAGCCTTATACAGTTGGCTTGCAAAGTGGTACTTTTCCTTTACTGCAACTCTCATACTAGAGATTATCTGGAGCAAGATCCATATTTAGGATTTTAGTTCTCTCTTACTGCAAAGCTTATTACTGTGTGAACTGAGCACCTATCCTGATTTTTTGGGGAGGGAGGAAGAGAACTCAAGTGAGAAAGACCAAATGAGGTCTAGGAAATGTTCTAAAGGAATTTATACTGCCTTTTGTTAGAGGGTAGTTTGACAAGCATGTTGGGATAATTACCCATTCTTATCTTTAGGATATCTTGGCACGTGACATTTTTCACTTACTGATATTGTCTGTGAATCAAAAGGAGCATAATGTTAAATCATGGGCTATTTTACCTTGAGAACCTTTACCTTGAGAAATTAGGATTTCTTCAATTTAGATTAATCTATATCAGGAAGACATCCCTTTCAACAAATAATAAACTAAATAGAGAGTCCAGTTAACCTCAAGGTCAGAAGAGTTCAAGCTTATTACACTTAAACTCTTTATGTGGCAATATTAGGGAAGAAGGGGACATTGGTGGCCAGTGACAGGACAAGGGGAAATGGGCACAAGCTGAAACACAGGAAGTTCCATCTCCAGGTGAGGAGGAACTTCTTCACTGTGAGGGTGACAGAGCAGTGGAACAGGCTGCCCAGGGAGGCTGTGGAGTCTCCTTCTATGGAGGTCTTCAAAACCCRCCTGGATGCCACCCTGTGCCACATGCTCTAGGTGTGCCTGCTCAAGCGGGAGGGTTGGACTAGATGATCTCTAGAGGTCCCTTCCAACCTTGAATATTCTGTGATTCTGTGATTCTGTAATAGGTGTAGGCCATAGACATGAAAGAAATTAGTGAGAACAAAGGATGTATCCAAATTTATTTTGATACTGTGAGACTCCAAATTCCAATATAATGGTGTGTTTTAATAAAAGGTGCATTAGTCTTCCTTTAAAAATTGTGTAATTAAACTTAACTGTTGATTTCCACATCTTCCATGTGCTGCTAAGCAGCATGCATAATGCAAATGTTCTCTCATTAGCTGCCAGTTATGGTTGCACTGAAGTGCCTTATGTAGAAATAGAAGCTAAAAGCTGAGTTCCTGGAAAAGATGAGCTAGGTGTTATACAGCACGTGACTCGGTTTATGGCAGGTAATTACACAACAGTAAGTCAGCCTCTGAAGGTTAACTGTGTGGATGAAGCAAATGGAAAGTAAAGCTACTGTTCTGCTGCACTTTGGACTGCAGGATCAAGCAGCCAGTTGTTTGGAGCCAGCCCTGTGCCTCTGTGTTCATCCCTCAGCACAGGGTAGCAGTGACTTGCCACAGGCACTCCTCACTGTTGAACGAGCAGCCCAAGCTCAGACTGCCTATACCCAGTCTTGCCTTGGAGCCTGCAGAAATGGCTTTAGTGAGGCACCTCCTGCCACCTGGTTTTCCAGTGCTGGGCATGTGATGACAGTACAAGAGCAGATAAGACATCTAATRATGAGATGGTCTAGAAAGAGGTTGTACAAGTGTACAGTTGTACCCTCTATTTTTTTCCTGATGCCCTTTAAGATTTGTCAGAGAACAGAGCTTTCATCACATGGGTCAAGTGATGGGAGGTCAAGCTTAAGCATAACCTTGGACCCACACTCAAAACAGAATGTGGTATATACTTGAAGACCTCCTGTTATAGCTCTTGCACCAGTGGAAACCGCCAGATTCCACTGAAATCAAGTGAATGGCAGCAGCAGAAATGAGAGAATCCTATAAACTGGACCTCCAAGAGAATTAAAAGAAAGGCAACACTTTCCTTGCAACACTTCACACACGCAGAAACATAACGTGTCCAACTAAACATATGTCTAATGGYATAAAGACTCAAAGAAGGACTCTGCAACATCCTTTGTGGATATCTATTTTCCTCATGTTCTTTGTGGATACTGATTTTCTCTTTCTAGTAAAGAGCAGCAGCAGCACAAGCGCAAGGTATAATATGGYAACCCAGAGAATTATGATAGTGAACAGTAGTGGTAAAGATTAAGGAGATGAGAGAAATAAAACAGTACATTTCCTTGGAAAGACAGCAAACTACATAGCAGTTTCAAGGCTCTAGAACTAGGAGGAAAAAAAAAGGAATAAAATATCCTGAATATTTCTTTTTTGGTGATGAGTGGGTGGAATTGAGCTAGGGAAAACACTTGTGACAATGTTAAGTCATTAGTCACATGGGAACTGTGACCACTGCATTCCAAAAGGATTACAAAAGAAGCTTTAGATGCTTTGGTGTGGTGAAGCTGCTGACGGGAAGGTGCCAGTTTGATATGTAGGCCACTCTCTGCAAGGTTCTGGTGCTTTGGAAAACACCACTGTGGGTGTGTCATACAAATGTAAAGGAGGTGGTTGCAACCAGTGCAGAAAAAGTGTTTGATATTTAATTACTTATATGAGTAGCARGGAAGAAGAAAGGAAGTTAGAGTCATACTCCAGAGGGTGCAATGGGCAGCGTCTGAAGCAATCACTGTAAGTATTGAACATCTGAACTTAAGAACTGGTCGATGCGGTTTGTCAGTAGGGCTGTGTGTGAAGATCAGGTAACATCAGAGGCTTGTGGCTCTTATGGTTTCCAAAGAATATGAATTAAGGATAAGAGAAAACACCAACTAAACAAACTACAAGCAGCACTCAAATCAGCTCAGAGAGATTCCTGAAACAAGCTTTGAGAGTCTGAACTCTTGGAAACTCCCAAGAAGAGGAAGGACCTCGGAATTATAACGTAAGTGGAGATAACGCAAGATCACATCAGGTATAGTACTACCAAATACAAAAGGTTTCAGAGTTTTTCTTTCAATACAGGGCTAGAGTGAATTCTGCATAACTAAGTACTCTTTTAATCTTCATAATATCAAGAAAATGTTTTCAAAAATTGTGAGAAGACAATTTCATAAGGTCTATTTTCATCTTAAAGTGGCTACCTTAGGACAAAAAAAAAACCTGTCAGATTACTTTCTGTTTCTTTTTCAATTTTGTATTCTCTGTGACTAAAAATTCAGACTATTTTCTTCAAATCTTTACTAGGAGATAAAACATCATCAGTGGGAGTCAGGAATCCTAAACAGAATTTTTCTTTCCACAAAAAATATCATTTTATTACCCGCACACTTGGAAGTGAGGCTGGTAATAATAGAAATATATTGAAAGATGTGAAGATAAAAAAGCTTAGAACTTGCACTGTTTTTAAAGAAAATATCCATGTTTAATACTTTTTTKGGGAGATGGGATGGGGAGGAACCACTTTTGCTTAAGTAGTCAGAAAATATGGAGCTAGGTAACAAAATATGCAGGTAGAAAATTATTCCTGGTGGGACTTCAGCATTGCACATAAAAGTGGAGGGGGTTTAGAGATAATTTGAGACCTTCGAGACATTAAAAAAAAAAAAAAGTCCATGGCTATTAAATAAAACCAGAAGTGATATTATCCAAGCTGGAAGTTAAGCAATAAGGAAATGCCCCTTTTCCTTCAGATGGCTTGTGCCTCCCTCCACACTCCCTCTTTCCTCATCCTTAAAGACAACTTATTCATGTCACACCTATTATTCTTTGTAGGAAGTTCTACTTGTCTTGGGATTCTAGAGAATGTATTTCCTCTGAGTAAATAATTTTGGTATCTCCTCCCATAATTACACCCACGCTGAGCGGGAACATTGGCATTAGACATGCATCTATTATAGGAACCGGTTCATTCATTTGACAAGTTTACAAGTATTAGCAACAACTGCTAAATACCTCTCTCTTCTTCTCAATTACAGCCAACAGCACAAATAAGTTCTCTTTTTTGTGTTTTTTGTTTTGTTTTTTTGATTAACATGAATTGGACATCCTTGAAGAATAAAGTAGAAGGTGTATGCAATTCACGTAAGCTGAGAGAATGGCAGGTAAGTTCTGTATGTCATTTGCTCCCCTTCAAAGTGCTTTTTACCCAGTGTTTCCTTAAGATACATGCCCTGTCATTTCTAAATAGATTTATTACCTGGAGGAATTTTATACTGCAAATTGTTCTTGCACTTAACTTATTGCTATTATCTTATCTATTTGAGAATAAATTCTAAATTGAGCAGAAAGTGTTACTAGGATAAAGAAATGCCATTATTTCAAGGCCCTTAGACCCTTCTTCAGAACTCTCTCTAGACCCCTATCTTTTTTTTTTTTAAATGGCTTTTCAGATACGTTTTGCACTAACAAAATTAGCAAAATCCATCAACGAGATGGAAGCATGCAGGCTACAGATAGGAAGTACATTATACTGCAGTGTTGGACTACACCTTGTGTAGATGTTTATAAATACATTCAAAAATGTGTTAAAACCCTGCTAAAGCAGAATAGTAATGGTAGTATCTCTGCTTTGCATTTAGTAGAGATTCTTACTCAAAAGAAAAATGGGTGGTGAACTGGATTATTAGAAGGCAGGTCTCTCTTCTGTTCTGTTCTGTAAACAACCAATTGAACTCAGTTTTGATAATGTTGCTTTGCTCAGGAAATAGCAGCTTAATGCAGTTCACTGCCATATTGTTCCAGAAGTTCAGTTTAAAAGCTGTTTCAGTTCATTACTCCTTATTACATTACCTCTTTGTAGTTATGGACTACAAAAAAAAAAAAAGTTTTCTACTTCATTTAATTATGGCACTGCACTTCCCTGACAGGGTAGGTTTTGCTTTTATTTCTTCTGCAAAAATCTTTTATAAACTGTAATGCAACATGCAACTATTTTTGTTTCTGATCTGATTTCATTTATCATGGCTATAGAGTATGAGAGAGACTTGGAAGCTTGTTTGAAGATACCTACCATAATACTGAATTTTGCCATAGGCCTTAATTATCCTTTCTATTCCTCACCTTTCTGTTTTCCTTTCCCTTTGACTGTTCTTACTGCTCCTTCTCTCTCTGCCCCAAAAGGGAAAAAAAAAAAAAAAAAAACCCTCACATCATATATGATACTAGCATTAAAATGGCACTGTGGAGAATCTTCACTTTCCTGGAGCACAGGCCAAACCTTGCAATACCACGTTCCAACCATACTTCGTAGAGYACCATAGGATATATCTAAGCCTGCAGAACAGCGCTCCCAAAGAAAACATCACTCTGTGCAAGCTGAGTGTGACAATACAGTATAAGCAAGAGAAGTAAAACAATCTTGCAATGAGAACTGCATCAGTAATCACTTGTCAGAAAGTAATTGTAGGATGTAAGATGGTAAGAGTCACTTTGTTGCCTTTAAACTACATATCATGATATTCAGATATGCAAGGGGAAATTCTGATATTGGAAATCCCCAAGCACAATGTCCCTCTAGGACACTGTGTTAGGTTGACTGCCCAAGAACACAGACAGAACACAAATCCTACTGGTCAGTTCATTGCTTTGAGTGGGCCTAAACTCTGTCCAGTGACTTTCTGTTAAGGTCTCTGAATATGTCCACAAAGACATTTTGTTCATTTTTATAAATTACAGGCTATGTATCTTTTCCATACTATAAATCAGATGACAAAAGCAGTAAAATATTCCAGTAGCTGTTTTCAGTTTACTTATATATGTTAAAAATATACAAGGTCTACTTATATATGTTAAAAATATACAAGGTCTACTAACCACTTAATTTGGTGCTGACTCTGAAATGAACCTGATTTTGCTCTGGTTAAATTTTCTACATTCAGTAATTACCAAAAAAAAAAAAAAAAAAAAAGTATTCAGCATAGAATAGGAAGAACACGAGTCTGTGGTGTATGAGACTCCTGCAGCAAAACCCAAGCACAAGATTTCTACTGCTGGCCACTAGATTTGATCCATTTCTCAAAGCATCTTACATTTAGTCTGACCTTCCTTTAGAAACGTGTTCCTGCTTTTAGCAACTTCCTAATCCTACCTGGCAACAAACAGCTGTTTTCCTTGCTTGCTTCTTAATGTCTTTCACTTGTTTTACAGACCTAACACCAACACACATTAGCTGGCAACCATCAGCAAATGCTGGCGCACACCATACTGACAGATATGCCAACACGGAACTGACTGTGAGGCGAGGACAAGCTTTTGCCATTGGCCTGTACTTCAACAGGCCACAACAGCCTGGGGAGAGCTTAGCATTTGTCGCTGAAATAGGTAACGTACCTTTCTCTACACTCTTGCAGAGCTGTACGTTTTATCCCTTGTATGTATTTCCTCACTCTGTTTCAAAACGCAGCCTTCCTTCATATTTTTTGAACCTCCTCCCCCCACAATGTGCTCATTTCAAATTGAAGATTAATAACTAAACTATGTTCTGGAACACACAGAAATTACTCAACATAACATGGGTGTTGATGCATTTCTTTTCTCTGGCAGGTCCATCTCCCTCCGAGTCTCATCACACAAAGGCCGTATTTGCCATCTCCGAGGCAGGGGCTAGCGGCTGGCGTGCTGCCCAGGAGCCCAGTGAGTCTGGCTACATAAACTTCACAATATCCAGCCCAGCCAATGCTGTCATTGGACGATACAATCTCACCCTCCAGGTAACCTCTGGGAATAGGATCTTCTCCAGATTCCTGGGGCAGTTTGTGATGCTCTTTAACCCATGGTGTCCAGGTAGGTACTGCTGCCCCTGCTATTGAATGTAACTGACCTATTTGCTTTCATTTATGCACAACGAGATTACTTCACCCAACCTGCTCTCTTTGGATTTCTGGGGCAGTATTCTCAGCTCTCTGTTCATAGACCTGGTTCAACTGCATTGAAACATTCTCCTCCCCACAGTTTTTTTTTTCCCGTTCTCACCAGTGAAATATGCTATAGCACATGACACTAGAGACTCTTCAGGACTGAGCAGATCATTTTTTCATGTACAAAGCCTGACAGACTTTATTGTACTTTACTCAGTACGTGTACTTTTCAGGCCTTTAATCAAGTAATTTTCTTGCACCTATATCAAAGCAAGACTGCTCTTGCAAATGTTGCATGCAAGGATAAAGACTCRAGTAATTTTCTAAAAATTGACAGAGGACTAGCAAGAAGAAAGATTGGCACTTTCCATGTATTTCACCATGGGCTTATATGGGGCATTTCTATTGCTAGTATTTTTACTTTCTGCAGCCTCCTCCCTTTGCAGAAAAATATAAATTCCTAAACTTGTTTTTTTGCAAATATATGATAGTGTAGAATAGCCTAAAACTAAACTACCTTACAGCTGATGGATCTCTTAGTCATCTAACTGACTAAAAAATCTTATGCAACAAGAGAAGATAAAAGCAACCACAACCTGCCACTTTATGTGCATGTGTGTTTGTGTTACTATATGTTAGTCAATTAGCTAGTTAGCTCAGCATGCCTTGGAAGAATGATAGCAGAATTATATTCCGGAGACTYAGACTGCTTCTGCACAGATAGTCCTGAGGGAGAAACACCTGAGGAACCTCCTGAAAGATCAGTTGCTGCATAACTTTTAATAGCCTGAAACTGCACTACAGATAGAAGAACTTGACAGTTCCTCAAGCAGAACAAATGAGTAAGAGTGATATAACAAGACCAGGCAAATTGTTATTGGATGAAAACTGAAAAAGAGTGAATATTTCAATAGGCCTTTCCAATGATATTGGTGGTACTACCTTGGCTCAGATAAGTTTGGATTCTTAAAATGAGATGAATACCTAACTAGAAAAATAAACTGATAAGGCTGAGAAATCCAGTGAGCTTGGGCTTTTCTCCATCTTCCCTTCAAAATCTCAAAATGGATGGGAAAAGGTACTTAGGTAATATACAAAGACGATACTAAAACTAGGCAGATAGTCAAAGTAATATAACACAGATTTTTTTCTCCTGCCTGTTAAGAAAATGCATTTTCACTGAATTGTTCGCATCTAGGTAGATAAAACAGTAAGATAGGGTTTTCCAAATACTTTATCTGCTTCTCCATTTTAAGCCAACATTCAAGTGTTCTTCAAAGGCTGTTGCTATCCCCATTTTTAAGTTCAAAAGTATGACCAACTTTGTTTTCAGCTGATGATGTCTACATGGCTAATGAAAATGAAAGACAGGAATATGTTCTGAACGAAAATGGAATTATCTTTGTGGGCAATGCAAAGTATATTGAAGCAAGAGGATGGTACTATGGACAGGTAAGCTGTTAGGAATTCACTTGGACTCATACTCTGTGTCTGATTTACATCCTGTAATTATTTGTCTCTGATAGGTATACCTACTTACATGAAAAAATCAGGCAAAGCTAGCTAGCCAGCCTTGACATTGATTTACTTATTGTGTGTCTAGTAGGACTTTGGTGAGAGATAGTGTGGCAGAGCACTGCAGTGAAGCCTGCAACTCCTACACGCTCTGTGAGCTACAAGTGCAACCATGGGCCAGATCTATGACCAGACTGCAGCCAACATTGCAGGAGCCCACATTGTGCTCTCAGTGTTTTTATATCTTGTTGTTCTTATCATCTTTGGGCTCGAAATTCTTAGAAAGTAGAAACTGCAGGAGACTCCTCTGATTCTGTCTGGGAAGGTATCGTTCTTAAAATCATATCTTATCTGATCACAGTTTCAAGATCCTCTTCTAAATATCTGTCTCACCATGCTTGATCTGAGCCTGTATTATCGTCAGGATCCAGCCACCGATGTATCCCGAAGAGGAGATCCTAAATATGTGGGCAGAGTAATAAGTTCTATGGTAAGAAATGGACAATTTAATTTGAACTCCACATTGTTAAGCAAAAAGCATTATTCATTACTGTGAGACTCAACCATCTTTGCCTTAGCAATATAACTGAGAAACTAGACACGATGCATTACATGCAAGTGATTTTKTCCATTCTGTCCACTTGCCTGTTTTTAGATCAATGGAAATGATAATGATAACGGAGTCCTCTTGGGAAAGTGGCAAGGAAGTTTCCATTCTCATGAAAATCCATCCAGATGGGATGGCAGTGTGGTAATCCTTCAGAAATGGCGTCAGGACAACTACAAGCCTGTTCAATACGGCCAATGCTGGGTTTTTGCAGGTGTAATGTGCACAGGTAAGCTTTAAGAATAAAGAATTATAGTGAAATGGAGGCATTTATAACCTCTGTTTCTTCTTTTTTTCCCTTTTTAATCAAAACCATAAAGTAATTCATTCTACAAGAGAAACAGTACTTCAGAGACTGCAAAAACTGAAGAATAACAAATATTTGAGAAACAACATTAAATAATTTAAATATTTGTAACTGCTGAGTTAGAGGGTTTTTTCTTTTTTTTTTTTTTTCTCCTTTTTATTTTTAATATATTTCAGTTCTGAGGTGTTTGGGAATTCCAACTCGTTTGATTTCAAATTTTAACTCTGCTCATGATGTGGATAGAAACCTGAGTATTGATAAATACTATGACAGCTCTGGAAAGAGTCTTAATATCGGCAAGGATTCCACATGGTAAATATACATTTCTGCATTTCACCATTGCTTAGGGAGAGGATTTATGTGACTTATATAATAACTAGCACAAAAGCACTAGAACTTCATGCAACTAAATTAATGAAGCAGATAACAGTTTGGAAGGAAACCATCTTGTGGTTGTGAGATAAGTTGCTTTTAAAAAAAGAAACAAAACAATAAACTCACAATGCTTTGCAGTCCCTGACCTCAAATTGGTTAACACTTTTTAAGAAAGTGGCAATGTTTCTTTTGAAAATGTACCATTCCAAGTCTCTCATTTACTGATTCCTAACCAGTTTGTTTCTGATAATACAGCTATGTAACTTCTGTGGTCTTAACTAGTTTGCTGCTGCAGTAGCTACTTCTCATCACACATCTAAAGCCTCGGTTCCTCAGCTTGGCCTGCTATCCTTCCCAGGTGGTCTGGAACCTCCCCAAGAAGTTTTCCAGCACTCATTTAGCTAGTCCTTTCTCTTGGGGGAACTGATCAAAAAGAGAATAGCCTCAGCATTCTCTAGACCCAATTACTGAGATTTTAAATCCAGTACTGTAAAGTGCAAGTGATTCATTATCATGAGTCAAGCCCCAAATTAGATTAGTGAAAGAAACATGATATTCCTTAAGTCATACTGTTTTATTCTTTACATACTCCTGACTTTAAAACCTTTAAGCTGCAGTCACTTTGCAGGAAGTGAACTTACTAGGCCATATTTTCAAGGGTATATGACARAACTCAAAAGTCTTTTGTGCACCCTAGGTTTAGCCAATAGTGGTTATTTAGTCTGCTTCCTTTCACTGAGCATATGCAGCTGAAGTCTTTCTSTTCCTAACCTCCTTAAAAGCACTAGTCTCTGAATAAAAACTCAGGGGATGAAGTTGTGTTTCCGAGCCCTACTGCAACCTATCTTCTACTAAGCTTCTGTGCTGTCCTTTCTACTCAAAGTTTGTGGCACTCACTACCACTGGATTCTGTGAAAGTAAAACTATATTTTAAAATGCACTAAAGACATTCCGAGGTAATCATTGATGAACATGAAATATAGCGTTCTCAACATAGCCTTTAGGTCAGGGACTTCCTAACTCATGCTCTAGTGTTCCTAGCAGTCAATCAAGGGAATGGTCATTACACTCACGTTCTGGTTTTTTTTTTTTTTTTTTTTTTTTAAATAAACATCTCCTATTGCACACTACTACAGATACACAATTGGATTTTATGAACACTTTTTCCCCACCTTTTACAACTTTCAACAACTTGGCATTCCCGCTTTCGAAGGGTATTCAACCCACTTTCCAAATGCTGTAAGATATCTTTCTCTTATGGTTTCTCTTGGTCCCAAAGCAAGCTGCTGACATCTCTGTTCTCTCTCTCTCTCTCTCCCCTATTATATTTATTTATACTTAAAAAAGGACAGTCAAGAACAGGCAGTAAAGTTATCCTTTGAAAGGGGCAGTGAGTTGCTGTAAGTAGACAGCTCATCTCACATCCYGATGAATGGGGAACACAATTCCCTACACCTTTCAAAGTGGAAGTGTATATTCCYACACTTCCTAGTCATTGTTCTTTCCATCTCCAGGGACTATCATGTCTGGAATGAAAGCTGGTTTGTTCGTCAAGACCTGGGAACATCATACAATGGATGGCAAGTTCTAGATGCAACTCCACAAGAACAAAGCAAAGGTAACAGTGCAAGTTCTTAATTGTCTTTCTCCAAACTGATCATTACTAATATGACTTCTGACATTTGTTTGTGCCCTAGGACTGTTTCAGTGTGGCCCTGCATCTGTCACAGCCATCAAAGAAGGTGATGTAGACTTGGATTACGACACTTTATTTGTGTACACAGAGGTGAATGCTGATTGCAACAGATGGATTGTATACAATGATGGAACTAAGAAAAGAGTTTATTGTGATACTGAAATAATTGGCAGGTTCATCAGCACCAAAGCTGTGGGCAGCAATTCTCGTGTGGATGTCACTTATAACTATAAATATCCAGAAGGTAAAAAAAGTTTGTGTAATTAATTTCTTATAAATTGCACATTATACATTAATTCCTTAAATAAGATTCCTTACTAATATACAATAAAATACATTAATGCCTCACACAAAACTAAAAAAGAGCTACAAAATATTTCATAGCCTTGTTTTGTTTATATCATTTTTACTACCAAAAGCAACCACATTCTCAAGCTGCTGTAGAAAGTATATTTACTTCATTTCAGTGATTTAATGTAATGTATTTATTAATTTTATTTAATATTAATTAAACAAAAAATGRAGTCCTAGTGAAAAAATATGGGGAACATTACAGTATTGTACATTTCTGAGTGATACAGAGCTGATGCCCTGTTACGTTCTGATAACCTTGACACARAGAACATGTATATGAGCAAGATATGATTTTTACTTGGTTCTCTCTTTCAACCAGGTTCTTCTGAGGAAAGACGTGTTTATAGAAAAGCCTGGGCTAAGATATTTGGATCAAATGTCCCAGAAAGACGCAGAGAGTCTACAAATGAAAGATCTTCAGAGATGATGAGAAACCCTGGAATCTCTGGGAAATTCAAGCTGGCTGAACCTCCAGTGTTCGGCAAAGACATTAACCTAATCTTAATTCTCAATAACCTATCTTTCGATCACAAGACAGTGAGGGTAGATATAAGTGCATCAACTATCCTATACACAAGGCGAGCAGTGTCAGAGATCCTGCAGGCAACCACCTCTGTGGATCTTGGGTCTAAGCAAGGTAAATAAGATTCAAGTGCATCAAGAGCTAAAAAAAGCCCTCTTCTTGGCTATTATAATTCCCTAAATGTAAATGGAAGGGAGAAACATCAATATCATATCTATATCTACTTGTCCTATCTTTTAACAGGAATGTTTACTACTACACTTTACTAGTTGTTTTTTTTTTCTTCTTCTTCTTCTGAAAAGGCCACATCTATACTATAGCCCCAGAAGCAATATCATACTCAGGTACATATCTGTGGTGATTATTGCAGTTATCAGAAAACATCTTACTCTTGAAAGAAATAAGAAAGTCCAATACATGCTTTTTGGCACTTTACATGCAAGATTGAGGAGTTTAATAAAAATTAAGAAAAAATTAGAGTGAAATTCCATACATTTCTCTCAAAAGAGACAAAGCTAATAAAAAATATTATACGAATCTTTTTTTCATCCCCAGGGACTGCAAAGACATAGAGTTCTTCTCCACGCACAGTAGAAAGGTTGTAGGACTAAGACAATAAGCAGCTGACCTGATGAGCAGGTTGCTCCTAAAGGTCTCCAAATCTCAATTTGAACTTTCTTCTTGACCATGGTAAAATAAATAGGCTATAGGAGGGAACAGACAAAAAAACGTTTTTCTTGTAATTATAAGAAATACATAGAGACRATCTAGTGAAATACAGATGAGCAGATGCCCTTAGTTTTATGACAAAATTCTGGGGTTATTTGTTTGTTTAACAGAAAAGGACCACTAGCAGTGGGAAATTCACAGCCGGTCCTACAAGGGAGAAATGTACACAGACACTAGCTGTCCTATCTTCTCTTCCATAATTTCAGAGATCCTCACAACAACTGTCTCACCTTTAGCATTCTTTACTGGAATCTAATGTTTTTTAAATATATGTCTGAATTCCAGGGAAACATATTCGGTTAAGGATTCCTTATACTTATTACGGAAAATATCTGACTACTGACAAAAGGATCCAAGTTACTGCTTTGTGTGAAGTCATGAACGTGCATGGCATAAAGCTACTGGTAGAGAAGACAATCATTTTGGAGGACACAAACATTATTATCAAGGTAAATAGCTCTCTCGCTGCTGTCCTGAACAGACATTAATGACCTAAAGGGATCTCCTGGAGCTCGTAACAGAAGATAAGAATGTGAGGATAAAAATGCATGAAAGCAACCTACAGCCTTTCAGATATGGCTCTAAAGTTCTGCCTGTTTAATTTAAGAAAGTAAGCTTCCTCAAAATGGGAATGCAAGCGAGAGACCAGTTTTGAAGCTTTGCCTGAATCTGCCCACTTGTCTTCAGAACAGCCGTTACCTTCTTTCTTTCCCAGTCATGTGCAATTTCTTTGTGTTTACAGAAATGTCTCTATTTTTATTGCAGTTTTATTTAAGTTACCRGCAAACATTTTAGTTGCCTTTGGATGACTTTCCTTTTTCCTCAAAATAAAGACTTGAGCATGTAACTCCAATTTATCCATATCAGAGAAAAACAAAGAAATTACATGCAGCAAGCCAAAGATCAAGCAAGCCAAGCAAGCCAACGATCAAGCAAGCCACTGCATATAAGATACGCAATGAGGTCTCTATTTCACTGAAATTTACATATAAATGATTACATATATATGAACAACACTACTTACATAATCTAAATCCAGCTTCAAGCTCTAGAAAAAGCATACCAAGTGTGATTAAATTCCACTGTTCCTACCTATATTTTATTTATCCTCAAATATAAGCGACAATCTGCTTAAAGTACCACTGAAATGTGACTCCATAAAAGTCTAACACAGTGGACAATCAGAAATGTGTCTTTGTCATTTAGATTCCTCGGCGGGTTGTAGTGAACAAAGCTGTTACTCTAGAGATCTCGTATGCCAATCCCCTCCCTGAACCTGTGAACAGCTGTGTACTACTAGTGACTTTGATGAATCAACAGGTCAAGATACAGTAAGTAAAAGCTATAGCATTTACTTAGGGCTTATAACATGACAAATACCATGATTAGTTTCTCAGTAAAAAAAAAAAAAAAAAATCATGGTTAAGTCAACTTTATTACAAAACGTGTTGTGTTTATGAAAATAAAAATACCACAAAATACAAATTGAGAAATCACCATTTCACAATAATGTGTTGTTTGTTTTTTTCCACCCAAGATCTTCTCTGAGAACTAAAAAACTGCTAATTTATTCCTTTCTAGACAAGCAAATTGCGTCTTTGATATTCCTTCTACTGCTTTGCTTCATATTTCTGTTTTTAAGTACAATGACCTGAAACATAGAAATAAGTCTGACTAGAACACACAAGTATGACTCTGCCATAGCTTCCCTCCTTTCATCCAAAACAAGGAGTTGCTGTTTTCTTTAAAGTAGGAAATAAGCTGCCTTTTGGGAACATAAGAAGAAAAAATTCTAACTTTTTTTTCTTTTTTYCCCCCCTGGATTCTGCTTCTTTATCGATTAACTTTATAAAATATTTCATGAAATTTGTTTCATAATGAAACATTCTGATTTGCTGCAGCCCTGAAGAGTTTGGACATGATAATTCATGCCCAGTGAAATGGATGGAAATTTCTGAACATGATAATTCATAAAATATGGAAAACACTATTCCTGTGAGGGGCCTTATAAATCATTTCCTCTGAATTACCAAGTCATGTCAAAAAAGAAACAAAACAAAGCACTTTGGTCATTAGAAAAATCAAGTTATGAACAAAATAGACATAAGCCAAGCAGGCACTTGGCAAAGAACMGACCTTTATCAGAGTTTTCCTGTTCTAAATTTCTAGATTGATTATCTAACCTTGCACTCAACTCCAGGTCGTACTTCTACCTTTCATTTTCTATTGAAGAGTAAATAGACTCTGCTGTCTTCTCCTGTTTCTTAGTCTGCTCAAAAACCCAGATCTAAATAATTCTCAGAAAACAAGGCTGGATATCAAGCAACCCTTTGGTGCCGCAACTCTTAGGTATCACTATTTCTTTGGCATATCAAGGAAAGACAATGCAAACCCAAATTAATTGATTTTTTTTTTTTTTTTCAGTCTGGCRGGACTAGCACCGAGAGAGAGATCAAGAATTTACTTTGAATTCACCCCTCGCAGAACTGGGCCCTTACAGATGCAAGTAGACTTCTCCTGTGACAAGTTCTCGCACGTTAAAGGATTCGTAACCATTGCAGTAGCACCTGCATAATGTGATAGAGACAATTTCATCTTTCTGTATTAACAATGACAAGATATTTTCTCATGCATAGGGACAGTGATGACAACGAGAAGTTTTCCACAAATACAGGCAACCTTTTACATTGCATTAGAATTAATTCTCCTGCTTTCACAGTGCTTAATTAATAGTTTCTAAGTGTGCATCTTTTTTGACCTCCTCTCTAGAAAAAATGAAGCCTCTTCCTCATAGAAATATTGATTTATTGTTTTAATCAAATCTACTCATCGTATTAAGCTCCAGGTTTTGATTTCTCCAGCAGATAATACTCAATCTCTTTTCTGTTCTTATTCTAATTTGCTATGAATAAATATAAACATTCAAATAACTGTTGCATTTTTGGTATTAAGTGTATATTCAATAGAAATATTATGAGAAATCAGAAAACTGAGGAATCTCTTCTTGAATTTTATACTTTTCTTACTTAAAAGTCTCCATTGTTCATTTAATTTCTGTATTTTGTGCCACCTATAGCTCTATGAATMGAAATAGTCATAAAAGGGCTAGACAAAAGTAATGTCTGTTGCTCATAAAAACAACATTTATGCAACAAATAGGCACAGACCTGTCACAGAAGAGATCACAGATGTAAAGATGCAAATCAGTAAATAAATTCTTGTGTAATTTGAAAGTACCAAACTGCCCAAAGCATAGAAATCAGAGTCTTGCATTAATATGGAATTCCAGCAAAACAAGATAACATCTTTTGCCCAGGTGACAAGGGGCACATTTAACTTCAAACTCAAACCCTATCACCTACAGCCCATCCTGCACACACCTACCATGGTGCTTGCACATGGATTGAGAAGCCACATCTTCTGTGGCTTTCCAACTTTAACATTGCTGCATACCAGATCACATCCAAGTGCACAAACCATTCAAGGCTTCTTTCTTACTCCAGGCAATGAAGCCTCTCCAGGGACAGCAGCAACTAACGAATGACCAGTGCATAGCAACTACCTGACCACACTTCAGAATTATGCTGAGAAACAGTAACGAGTAAGAAAATCTTTGTCAAGTCTGAAGAGTTAAGTTGCTGGTCCTACTTGAACAAAGTTAAAACTAGAATTAACAAGGTCAGAGCTTTGAATGTGAATGCTGTCAAGTATTTAATCTAAAGAGTTGCTGTCTAAGAGACTACAATCCTGTAGTTCCTGACAGTCTGGGACATGACCCCCACACTGCATCTCTTGTTCCACAAAAGTTTCACAAGAAACAAAAGTTCACCATAAGTTCAGAATAATTTGCAATTTCCTCTCATGACAATTTGGCAGTGCACATCTCTAGGTAAGTCCTGACATGGTGAAGAAGGAAAGACCATGAGAAAGCTTAAACACTGGAGAAGAGAGCATCTGTAATTAGAGTGGGCAGGGCTCTCACCAGAAGAATAGCTCTGTAGCTTCCACTAGGGCCAAACTCAAGAAGTCATGCCAAATGACTGGAGACAAAATGCATGTATACATTACGATTTCCAAACCCTAAACAAAAATAATTAGTCMGAACATAAACACTCCACTGAATAGAGATCCCTGATGCACTGGTGAGTGTCTATCCATGCCCACTCAATATCCACATTACTTGTAATAATATATTTTGTGTATTGGGAGTAATCATGTCAGCAACATATAATCAAAGCAGCACAACTCAGCACATCATCATCACACGGAAGATTTTCAGGTATGCCTGTCTTTATTTATGTGGACTGTGCCACGCAAAGTCACTATGCTACTGAGTTACAGCAACACCAATATATTACAAGTCCACTTAGATTACTCCACTTCTCATACACCCAAGTTGAAGAATATGTATGGGATATTTGCATATACCTACCCTATGCTCTATACTTATAGTCTTCAAAAATGCAAACTGAAAACAAACTGTATTATCCAAAATTAAATATCTTCTGTCATTTAAAGATCATATGTCCTTCATTAGATCTCATTTGGGATATTTTCCTCTCTTCACATGGGATATTTTCTTCTTTTCATACTTGAGATACCAGACTAATGTTAATCACCATTTCTCRGTCATCCACCAACTTTAAATAAGCATATTCAAGATTATGCAGTTAAAGTAGTTTTAAGTAGGATGCACGTGTAGGAGGTTGCTACAACAACAGTATCTAGGAACCACAGGTCACACCCAGCTGGTATAGACTATCTTATTTAGTGGATTCAAAGAGTCCTAAGCCTTTCATTATCAATGTTGGTGGAAAAGGACTCAGTGTTCTTGCACAGTTTTGTATCCATAACCTGAACTACTCACAAGTGTGGAAAAGAAGAAAGAAAACTTATGGCTGGTAAGTTGAAAACATAGCTTGATTGCTCCGGACATCATTCATATTTGATATTTGCTGAGGAAATAGGATAAATTAAACTGTTCTCTTGAGAAAATAGCTCTTTTTTAGATTAAATACATTTATGGTTTGGTCTAGTAGAATTTATTTTCTTATCTGATCTCATGGGCCTTTAGATTCTATTTTTTTCTGTTACAATGAAAAATTAGTCAAGAAAACAAATTMTCTAACGTATTCATTGCCTACCTATTCTGTACAGTCATTTTGCTCCCACTGAAGATGCACTGTTGGCTAATGATTTTAGCATCAAACTGCCACATAGAAAGCCCAGATTCTAATCCTTCTCTTATACTGAAATTATAAATGTCCTTGGACAGGTCATCTGGTGGCCTCTCGATTCCCATGTCCACTTTGCAGCAAAGTTAAACTGTTAGCCTGAGTGCTTCTCAATAGAAAGTCAATCCAAATTATATCTGTGCACAGCATTGTACATGTTCTCAATCCCAGACTAACTAGGAAGATCTATAGTTAAACAGACATGTCAAATAATTGACAGACAAAGCTTATTTACACTCTAATTTCAGCATATTTTCTATCATAGCTACAGCCTTCTGTTAGAGGTAACAAGTGACAACAATCCTGTGTGCATGAGGCTCAGTATTTTTAGAAGCAACCCTTTGTTTTTGTAGGCTTCTAAGTGTAGTCTCAAAGTTTACTTATTAGCTGGGTAAGCGATTAGCCATAGCTTTCTAACTATTGACTTTGCACAGAGAAATGTCAAAACATGAACACAGCAAGTTCTTAGAGATAAACAGTGGTACCTACAGCCTTCTTTTCTCCTTCCTACTTCTCTAGGTGTTCCCTTTTATTCTGTTGTACATCTTGTCTGTTATTCCTCTCTTGAAAGGACTGCTGTTTTATTCAGGCCCTCTTCAATAAAGCATATTTAAGTCAGGAAAATAAATTCACAATACAAACAAAGTTAGCCATTTAAATCACACCACTGAATCACGGGTCCTATCAAAGTCTTTGCAAAGTTTGCTTGTTGTTGTGGGGTTTGTTTTTAAAAAAGGTGACAAAGACCTTGTCTGAGACAAAGATCCTTCACTTAACTGAAAGTATCTCAGACTATGGGAAACGGACTTGCTGCAGCCTTGAAACTGCACGCGCACATTGATATTTCTTACAAAAAGCTGGATATAAAAAAAGAAGGTTGGTACTAAACCAACTCCTCTTAGTTACTTCAATGAAATAACAGAAGTGTTGCCATGATGTCTCCAAAGAGTTACCATGCTCTAGTCCCAGCAGAAAATTTTCTTCAAATGAAATCCCTCTGTGACATCTTAACAAGGGAAGTACACATCTTAAGTACATACATGTGCATAGATTGATCCATTTTTTCCTCTGTCTTGTTCTCTCTTCCTCCCCACTCTCCACCTCGCCCCACTCCCTCTTCTTATTGATCATAGAAAAAGTTGTGGTGGAACCTTTTGCAATCTGTATTTTGTGCTCCTTTTTAAATACAGGTAACCATTTATCCTGATGCAACATAGCACTGCCTCGGGATTTTCCTCTCTTAATTCTACCATCATGTCCTGACAAAGCTATTTTTTTCCGGAGTGTGAAATAAAACCCATCTACAAGCACCAAGACCATAAATTAAGTAAAAGATAACAAGTGAACTTGCAAGACTGACCATGACGATAACTGTTTTTGCATTCATCATCTCTCATACCATGTTTCCAGGATCAGGCATATACTGAGTCATGAAAGTCTTGATATTTTTTTCTGCACAGCAGTAAAGCATTTTTGARAAATAGAGATCTTGCATAAAAGAAGCAGAAACATCATGAAACAGAATCATCTCTTCAGACTTAAAAAAAAATGTTTTTAGATAAGAATTTGTGCATGACAGACAGATTCAACAAATGGATGGCTTTTTCTGTCTCAGATAACCACAAAAAAGATTACCAGCTTGTTTGTTGTTGCACTTTTTTGAATAACATTTTAACAGTGGATTTTGCTGTATTTTCATAGCTCATGTACAGATAACTCTAGTAAACACAATAAAATGGCTAACATTAAGTAAGCAAACAAGATAAAAGAAGTTTAAAGGAACAATGGTCCTAATTAGATTGCCTTGCATCTTTCTAGCCCTCAAAACAACAAGTGTCAACTGGCACTCCAAACAGAATAAAGCAGCACATCACACATCTGACTACAGCAGTACAGAAGCAATCTTGAGGAGAGGACAGAACTTTACTATCACCCTGAACTTCCAAACAAATGTACAGTCTGCAGACAACTTTATATTTATTGCAAGCACAGGTAATTCTTCCAAAGCTCTTACCTCACATACAAGTTACTCCAGCTCCCAAACCACCTATACCCTACAGTTTTCTATATGGCTCATTCCTGAATGACTTAAACCTTGTTGAGCCTGTCATTCTCAGGTCTCATTAACTTTAGTCTGTAGGCTTGCAAAGATTAGGGTCTCTCATTTGAAAGTTGAGTCTATACCCTAAGGCGAAAAACAGTTAAAGGAATCATTAAGGACTTCTCCTAAGAACCTACTTGTTATATTGCAAGATATCTTCATGCTGTCCGTGGTCTCTGTCTCTCCCAAACGATCATCACCTGCTTTTCTGCTCTCCTGCCACTCCCCCTCACCTGTTTACACTCCACTTGTTTATCTTCATGCCTTCTACTCAGAGTTCACTATCTCTGGAACAGCCTACATGACCCCATTTGATAAGACTGATGTCTGTTTCTTCCCAGAAGGCTTCTCCAAAAAAAACAGCTCATGGAGCTGCTAACTCTTAATGAAATGCATATTTGAATGTATGCCCCTTCCTGCCTAGGTATTTTTAAACTGTCAGGTTTTCAGAGCAAGGACTTGCTTATGGGCTAGAATGATTATGGGCATATTCATCTTTAGTGGGTCATGCATTTAGCACAAAGGACTGCATAGTGCAACTCTGCATACTGAAGCTCATTTACACTGAATGAACATGGTTTAGTAAACCACAATCCTTCAATGTACCCAAAAAATGAACTGAGATTCTCACTTTCCCTCTGATAAGCACTCGCTTTTCTCACTCAGTATTCCTGTCTCCTGTTTTCTCTGGCAGGACCATCACCAGCAGAATCACAACAGACTAAGGCCGTATTTAATCCTTCTGAGGATTGTAGCAGTGGCTGGAGTGCCATCCAAGAGCCTAGTGAGCCTGGCTGCATGACCTTCACGATATCCAGCCCAGCGAATGCTGTCATCGGAAGATACAAGCTCGTACTTCAGATTAATTCTTGCAACAAGGCCTCTTCTACACTCTTGGGCCAGTTTGTGCTACTGTTCAATCCCTGGTGTCCAAGTATGTTTTAACATATCATGTCCTTAATATAACTCATTGTCTCAGTCAGGAAATCTTGGAGTCACAGTAAAGCACATACCAGTCAATGACAGCTACAGAATGATTTTTTGCTCAACATCAAGGATCTTGTTCTCATTCCTTTTTCAGTTTTGGAGTACATTGAAGATCCAGCCTCTTGCTAGGACTGTAAGTAGAGACAGGAAACAGGGATAGTGGGACAGCTCTGAATCTGAATGCTGAGGCAGCCTGACCTGCTCCACAGAACATCCAGTGAAAACAGATTCCAAGTTTGAAGAAAATAACAGTTCTTTCAGTTAACTTGTCTCTTTCTATTTCTAGATGATGATGTCTACATGGCTAATGAAAAGGAGCGACATGAGTATATTCTGAATGACAGTGGTATCATATTTCAGGGACTGGAAAAGTATATCCAGCAAGAAGCATGGAATTATGGACAGGTAAACACACTGCCAGTTCCTGATGTTTTAAAAATAAGAATGGTGGATGGGTGAGGGTCTTGAGGAGACAGAATCATTATTTCATAAGAGTTCATCATTMCTCTTTCACTCTTGACTTTCTTTTAATCTCCATGTATCAGTTATCATTATGTTATATCAGCATCTGAATAATTTCTCTCTCTGTGCCATTTAGTTAGTATAGTTAGTATAGAAATAAAAGAAATACAAAACAATCTTTTTTTTTTTTCACTGATATACTGTGAAGGCAGCCCATGATAGCGATGCTTTCATCAGGGGTCATCAGGGGAAGTAAATATGTTAGGGTACAGAAGGATGCTGAAAGGATGCAAAGCCTACACAGACAAAACCTTGAGTGGTCTTGTTTGTTCCACCAGGCCATATCTGAGCAATGTCTTGGTTGACTGCTAGCTGGTATGGCCCCAAATTATGCTTGTAAATATGCTAATTATTAAATACTACAGAGAGTCAGCAGTCTATTGCTTGTGTTTTCTCCCTGGTCCTGTTTTCTTTAGCAGTGCAGAAAAAGCCTGACCAACATTGTCCTTGATTCTATTAATAAAATTAACCTTTAAAATAAATTACTTGTTTTCCTCTCAGTTTGAAGAGGATATCCTTGATATCTCTCTGACTATGTTGGATCGAAGCCTGAACCACCGCCAAGATCCTGCCACTGATGTATCCAACAGAAACAATCCTATCTATGTGAGCAGAGTTATCAGCGCTATGGTAACATGCTTGATTACTTACAACTGTACAATGCATTGACTAAGAAAAATCTGTTTTGAAACTCCTCAATGTTTTATAGGATTTTATACTCCCTCTGCACAAAATTGCTATAGGAAAGGAAAAATAGAGATTTTTTTTTTTCAAGGAAAGATGCTTCAAAAGTCATTTAAATTCTCCCCACAAGTTTGGGCACAACTGAAAAAATTCTTCATGTACTTAGATGTGCTCACTGATTTGGAAGCTCTGTGTCCATTCTGAAATAACTTGCTATGCTTTTCAAATATCTTGAGAAGCATAAAATATTTCTGAAAACAAGTATTTGTACGGCTGCATTTAATATACTTCAGTTAAAGGGAATTCTTTCAGTAAAATTTTATGCATTTCCTTCAACAAACAGTTAYATTTTCCTCATCCTCACACATCTACAGATACATAACTAGGCAACTAAAAATTTTTCTGTTTTATATATAATACCTGCCTTACCAAATTCCTTATCTGAGATTCCTTTTGTAAATGTTATCCTTTTTGCCTTTCCAGACAGCACTCTCTTTAAGCAATTTCAATATTAAGTAAATAACTTTACTTAGACTTACAAAATTACTGAAATTCCAAATACTAAAGAAAAAAATTCATCATTTTAAAAAAAACTTACTGTTTTCTATGCAATTACACACAAAACTTAAGTGGGCCTCTACGATAGATATGCACAAATACACACGACCACATATAACACACTTGAGCAAACACAAAAAGCAAACAAAAGCAAAAATATTCAGAGTTGCAACACAGGCACATTTAAGTCAGGCTCWAATTGGCAGTACTACTTTGTTTAAGGGGAGAAGAAAAAATATGTACTTTATTTAAATAGGATAGTAGTCACCACATTTGGGACATTTTTACTGAAAAGCAAGGCAGTTTTGAATATTAGACTACAGCCTGACCTGGATTTGATCCAATTGCTGCACTTGAGTAACACTATGTCTCAAACAAAGAAACTTGTGATATGCACTGGGTCACTTTCTTTCTCTTTCCTTCTCCCTCTTTTGCTATAAATGTTGTAATTCATTCATGAGAAGGACTCTTGCAGGTTAACAGCAATGATGAAAAAGGAGTGGTGCAAGGGAAGTGGAATGGAAAGTACTGCTCAGGAACCAATCCCTTGCAATGGAGTGGAAGTGTGAGCATTCTTCGAAAGTGGTACAGAGGGAGATACAAGCCTGTACGATACGGTCAATGCTGGGTCTTTGCAGGAGTAATGTGCACAGGTATACTTGAATGGAAGAAGAATACTATCAAAAAGGAAGCTTATTAGGATTCCTATAGTTTTAAACTTGCCATACTATTGTTGGAAGCTGCTGCAGGTTTGACAAAGTGAAGATCCTATGTTCTCCTTGTCCGAAGGGTTATTTTCCATGTTAATCAGCCATAGGTGGTGATATTGCGGGTTACTGCCACAAATCATCAAACAAGCTGCAAAGTTGTTTATCAAGCTTAGCTGATAGAAAGAGCTAGGTTTGCTCTTTCAAAGCTGGTTTCATAGCTGGTATGATTCTGAGAAAATCAATGCTCTGGGTAGGTCTGCCTCCTTAAGATGCAACTTTTCTACTGTTGTGTCTAGCTGTTTTGTGATACCAAAACAAATCACCATTCTGAGGGCTTGTAAAAGGAGCTGCAAGCAAGGAGAAGCATTTCAGCTTAGCTCTGAACTGCTCTGAGAGACAAGAATCCCTTTGGAAAAACACAGAGGGAGAATAATGCAGTCAACAAGTATGTTCTAGAGAACAAGAGCAAAAAGTAGGTAACAAAAACAAACAAAAGGAGGGGATTAGAGAATAAAATGAAGGATGAAAGATTAAAATAAGTATGTGAATCTAACTCTTTTTATAAAGAAAAGAACATGGCAACTAAAAACAGCATGCAAATGGAACTTTCACATGAACAATTGTGTATAACAACTATGTCACATCCCTGCAGCATATCTAAGAGGGGATTTTCTGAGGGGTTCTTTCCCCTCTGAAAGCATGTATACTAAACTATTTTGCCAAAGAAAAGACAGAAATACTTTCTAAATGTCTGTAAAGTAGGTTTACTGGTGTTATATATTGCAGTCCTGAGATCCTTGGGAATACCTACCCGTGTTATTACAAACTTTAACTCTGCCCATGATACGAATATAAATCTGAGCATCGATAAATGCATTGACATTTCTGGAAAGACCCTGTACTTGAATGAAGACAGTGTGTGGTAAATATCAACATTTTCTTAATATTTCTTCTATTTTCATTTAACCACAAGATTTGGAATTACATTCCTGAAAACCCCACCCAGCCTTATGTTCCCAGTGGCAGACATTAAATGCTGTAGCAAAGAATGAACAGAGCAGGTTCAGGAAAGCATGATGGAGTCGGTTTCATTATTCTGAAGACTTAATAGTGGAGACCCTTGGCACCATCTCTATTTAATCTATATTTCTAATATGGCTTCTAAAAAGCTTTAGACTCAGCTTCTCTGCTAAACACTCACTGTTTATCATGACACAACGTGTAATCTTCATGACTGTTATCATCACACATCCCTTACACAACAGAGAGCAATTACCAAAATAAAGGTAATGCATTTACTACAGAAGAGAAAAATTTCACCCCACACCTTAAAATAACTTAGGAAGAAGTGGATTTTCTCCCATCTCAGAGAAGCTTTCTGTTAAAAATGATGCTTTTGACAAAAAAAAAASTAGGCAGAAACTACTGCACTGCACATCTGCATTGTATCTGTATGTACTAGTGATTCTTTCACTGAGCACCCTATACCATGTGGACTGAATGGAGCAAGGGTCATATGAAGTAAAAAACAATGGTGAATATGAATATTAATTAATAAGTAATATTCATGGGAGACTTTCAACTATACACCTTAGTTCTGGAATGTCCAGATTTGGTAAGAATGGGGGTGATGGCTAAGGGGGAAATGGAAGAGGGGGGAAAGGGATAYTCAATAAAGGAGAAAAGACTTGGCTTATCCACAGAGGAACTATCATTGACTTGACTACTATCATTTCTTGCATTCCACAAAAATACATCAAATATTCGATACTGAATGAATTTGATTAGTCAGGAATTCTCTATTTTCCTTCCCTTACAGGAATTTTCATGTTTGGAATGAAAGCTGGTTCATCAGAAGAGATCTTGGCTCTTTTTATGATGGGTGGCAGGTTCTGGATGCAACTCCCCAGGAAAGAAGCAAAGGTAACATTGTTGTAAATTTAAAAAACTGTAAATATTCTTACTGTAACTGCAAGRTAACTCTCTTCTGACCGCTCCTTGTAGACATACCATTAATTTGGTCACATGGGGAAAGCAATAACCAAATCAATCTTCTGTAGACTGCCTTTCTCTTGGCCTCTGGAGTCCCTAAATATATAAACATATCTAAACAATGCAACTTCAGTTCACTCATCCTTGGTTTTGTTAGCTCCTAGCATTATACAGAATCATAAAATCACACAGAATAGCTGAGGCTAGAAGGGAGATTGTCTAATCCAAATGCATGTTCAAAGCAGGTTGCTCWGGGCGTCCAGTCAGGGCGTGAGTATCTCCAAATAGGAGATAGCATGAATAGGATTTAAATATCTCCAAGGCTGGAGAATCCAAAATCTCTCTGGGCAACCTGTTCCAGTATTCGACCACCTTCACAGTAAAAAAAGTAAGGAGTTTTTGTTGGTTTGTTTTTTATTACATTTCAATGGAATTTCCTGTGTTTCAATTTGTGACTGCTTCTTGTCCTTTCATTGAATATCTCTGAAAAGAGCCTGGCTCTGTCTTCTTTACGCTCTCCTATTAGGTATTTATGCACATAGATAAGATACTACCCAATCCTTCTCTTCTCCAAGCTGAACAGACCCAGCTCTCTCAGCCTGTCCTCTTAGGAGAGATGTTGCAGCTCCTTCATTGTTTTCCTGTCTCGACTCATTCTGGTATCAACAGGAACCTCTTGAACTGGAGCCCAGAACTGGATGCAGGACTCCAAAAGTGGCCTGAGTAGGCTGAGTAGAGAGGGAAAATCGCTTCCTTCCACCTCCTGGCAATACTCTTGTTGATATAGCTTGGGTTATTCTTGGCTTTCTTTGCCACAGGGACACATAGTTGCAATTAGATTTTCTTGTTTGCAATGGTGGGTTTAGCAGCATAAATAAATAAATAAATAAATAAATAAATAAATAAATAAATAAATAAATAAATAAATAATCTTGTTAGTAAGCTGCTAGGTAAAGTAGCTACAGCTTGTAATTACAAGGTCAAATCAAAGACATTATAGTAAAAAATAAGATATACTATATGGCCTGTACAAAACCCACTGAGATAGAAAGATATTCAAAAAAAATGTACCTGYGGCATTCAGCAATCCAACATACATACAAAAGACTAAATTAAAGAGGGCATCAACTCTTCTCTGGTTCTGAAATCTAGTGGCATCAAATGGCTTTTGTCCACAGAACTAAACGCTACTTCTTCCCAGACCAGGGTAACAGCACTGCGTGTTGGGAACAAACTCAGGCCTGTCCCACTCCTTGGGCTGTTCACAGCTGCTGTGTGAAAGACTGCTCATTAGCAAGGGCAGCGGGGGAGGTGAGGCAGAAATCCATGCTAAAAGGCTTTCTAGCAAGTAAACAGCACAGATGACCATYGGCCAGCACTTGAGTTCACACCTTGGCTCAGGCTTATTTACTAATACAAACACAGCCTCATGGATTGAGTATTATGACCCCCATCAAAAGATTCATTTATTTAGCCATCTTAAACCCTCCAAAGTCTAGATCAATTGTTTCTCATTCCCTGCTATGCATTTTACCAAATTTAACTTCCTGTTTCTTTTCCACACATGTACATCATTGATCAGTCACATCTCTGATTGTATTTTTGATGCAACTCACACCATCTCCTTTGCTGTCACTAGACAACCGAGCAAACTTTAGAGGATTAGAACATTTCACGCAGCTCACAACTTTACTATCTCCTCTGTGCTTCTAGCTTTTGATAGAGCTGTTACTAGCGTAATGCACAGATCCTGAAACTGGGCACTTCATTCAAACATTGTCTGGAGCAACTACCTCTCCGTCTTACTGTCAATGTGAGGATTTGTGGGCCGTACCTACTCTTTCACAGCAGGCAGTCATTTAATTTCTCTTTGTCTAATATAGGAATATTTCAGTGTGGTCCTGCCTCCACCAGAGCCATTAAGGAAGGGGATGTGAACCTGGATTATGATAGTTCATTCGTGTTTGCAGAAGTGAATGCTGACTATGTTACTTGGATTTGCTATAGCAATAAAAGGAAGGAGAGAATTTACTCTGATACTAGGAAGATTGGAAAATCTATCAGCACCAAAGCAGTGGGCACTAAATCCCGTGTGGATATCACTGATAATTACAAATACCCAGAAGGTAAAGTCTTTACTACAGTTGTCTTAATATTGATAGCCAGAATTGACAAGGATTTAGGCCTCTGTTGGAGGGATCATTGATTTAATTTGCCTCTTCTGCATTGGAGTAATTGTGAATTTTCAATGTCTCATGGTTCATTTACTGATGATGAGTAAATCTGGACTTTATGACTCACAGTGAAATATTAATTTATTCAATACACAGTCCAAGTTACTTATGTAATACATTCTGTCCCAGCAGGTCTAATCAGATGGTTACAATAGTCTGTTATGACATGCAGCAATAGGTATTCTGGAGAGACTGGCACAAGTCAGATTTTTTCCCCTTTTCATTTTCAAAGCAGAGGGAAATTCCCCAAACTCATACAGAAGAACTAAATTCTCTCAGGAGTTATCTTGCTACTGATCACAATTTCCATGAGGTGCCCATGAGCTGCTAACTAAAACCAACAGGCAACTTTAACTTCCAAGCCTTCATGGCTTCACATGTGCCTACACTTGCTTTTGTGTCAAAGTTAGCCTTTTGGTTAGGACCACACTTCGTCCTCTCAGGCACCTCTGCCCTCTTTAGCTTCCTCAGAATGATGTCCTCTTGGCTCTACACTCAGCATGTACAGAATCTCACCATGCTATCTTTTAAAGCAGGATCCTTGAAAGAAAGGCAGGTATATAAAAAAGCACTGAAGCTCCTTGGTGTGAGAAGTATTGGAAGAAGAACCAAAATTAGAAGACGTAGACCACGATCTTCTGTAGCACAGAGACGAAATATGACAGAGTCTGCAAGAAAGCCAAGTATCTCAGGGAAGTTCATCCTCAATGCATCTCCTGTTATYGGCCAAGATGTCCTCATTACCTTGGCACTCAGAAACTTGATCTCAGATTTCAAGACTATAAAGATTAAACTGAGGGCTTCAGCCATTCTCTACACAAGAAAACCAAAGGCAGAGATTTTGCAATGGTCTAGACTTATTAAACTCAGACCTGAAGAAGGTAGGTAATTTTAATTTTATGACAACTCAGAATAAGTCAGAGCTTTGATTTGTGACAAAATCACATATAAATCATATATGGATCAGAAAGTGCATGACCTGATAATAGGTGAAGATTAGGGCTATTCAAGTTAAGAGAATCCCATATACTTGCTCTGTTTTTAAGTGTTTACTTTTGGGCACAGTCAGAAAAGACTTAGCTCAGTGACATTTTTTCTGATCTAGCACAGCAAGTTAGGTCTATATTACTATCTTTTCTGCTAACAGACAATGAAGAGAAACGCACCACTACTCAGCTACCAGCTCCTCTTGAGCACAGTAAAAATAAAAATGAAAGGAGGAAACATAAGCCTATCCCTTTTCAGATTCATCAAAATGCTGCTAGAAAGGTTTGCCACAGATATCTGTCCACCAATTTGCCCAACTTCTGAGCTGTAGTTTATCATTTAGCATTTGATGTCAGTGTAAGTGTGAGTCACATTTAAGCATAATTTCTGTCTATAGACTGTCAACAGCCACAAATGGACATCCCAAGGCGATAGCATCCTTGCTCCTTAAAATACAGAAATATATACCTCAAATAGTACTTTGAGATACCTCTACTAAGAGCTACTTAGAGATACAGATACCTCAGATGGTACTTAGACACACACACACACACACACAGAGTAGAAAATGAGGAAATTCTGGTTCTTTTGAATTCCAGTGAAAGAGATTTCATTCAAGATCTCTTACTCCCAGTATAAAAACTCTTTGAGAGATGACAGGAAGATCCTAGTGACTGCTGTGTGTGAACCCAAACAGGAAGCTTCACTTCTAGTGGAAAAAGATATTATACTTCAGGATCCTTTCATCACCATCAAGGTAAGTGCTGGTCTCTTCTGCATCCTCAGCAGGGCAAGTGCTGGAAAGTAGCAACTAGAAACTATGGGAAAGAATGTGGGAAGTGAATCCTTCTTGAAGGTGATTCTATGTTGAGTTGTCTTTATGTTGCTTTAGTAATAGGCTTTATGATGCAAGTGAAATGGAATACACTAAAGCAAACTACTCTGTGGCATAGCTGCTTTTGTTGATAAAGTTCTTTGCCAAGTTTGTTTCCAGATAAGATCATCTCTCTATATCTCTTTCTGTCTTTCTCCCTACCTCTCTCTGTCCCATTTTTCCACTGATTACTAACTAGAGCTGGAAGCTAGCAAATCTTTTAAAAGTAACTTAGCTTGTTTTGGTCATTTCAACACATTCATATGCTATATCAGACATGAGATCAAATGCTTCCTGTCTGCTGGATTGTAAACAATACAGAAGGAATACAGTAACTCTCAGTGTCTTTCAGAGCCTCCAGACTAGATCAGCTATCCTAAATTACATTCTYGGTAGCATATAGAAAATGGAAGGATATATATAGGAATTAATATCAGATTTTTTGGTGGTTCTGGTTCCTGAATACCATGTTTTAGTTTCTTTGTAAATACCCTTCTGTGCTGTATCATGCAGGAAGCAGAACTGGCCCACTAGGGTGGACATCTAAACTAAACTACTTCAGTAATAAATTTCACAAATGGTTTGGGCTTCTACAGACAGAAACACCTATGTTTCCAAAATACATAATATTTAATGATAGAGTAATACAGCCAGGATGTTTTGTTTCTCTTGTATTACGTTAATTGAGTATAACATCTACACAAGATGATGAAATATGCCAACATTGCCTTATCTTAGTCAAAATAAGGTTATGAATAGATTTATTGCTATTTGGCTTTTTTAAAAAGAAAAAAAAAAAAACTCAGACACCACAATTCATTTCTATCTCAAACCTCCCAACCAAATCTCCAATATTTTCTAATTCTAAGCCTTCCATCTACCTCAAATACCCATCTAACTTAAATCATCACAGTACTTACCCATATATAGCAAGCTAGTAACTRTATTCTTACCCTGTTCTCACTCTGACAACTATCATGTACTATACCATTCAAAACACCGTGTCCTGGCCTAATTAAAAGATAAGGATTGATTCTAGAGTAGTTTTTCTTCTTTATGGCTGAATCAAGGCTGAACTCAAATTCCTGAGCATATGTACATACTTTAACTCCTAGCTCCTGCCTATTCAGAAGATCCTAAGAAGGTAATAAAGTGGCCTGCTATGGGAAAAAAAAAAAAAAAATAAGCAAAGAGCACGGGAAAAGAAATGAGATAAATGCTGCAGCTGAGCAGAATGTTTTCCCTTTATAGGTTCTTGGTCCAGCTGTGGTACATAAGGCAATTAATGTTCAAGTCACATTTACCAACCCATTATCTGAAATGGTGACAGACTGTGTCCTGAAGGTGGAAGGCAGTGGCCTGCTCAAAGAGCAGCTCAAAATCAAGTACGTAAATTCTAATAACTAGTTCTCTTAGGGTGGGAAATATGGAATAAAAGATTTTTTTCTTTAATTCTGTCAAMCTCATGACTTTTATTTGTCACTAAGCTGGAACAAAATATGACCATGTTAGCATTCTCCCCTTATCAACTAGAATATATTTACATTTTCCTTGCTGAGCTATGAATCACAGAATGCCCAGGGAGTGCAAAAATGGACTGCTGGAATGACAAAATGCAACTCAGAGTACTGTAGTTAGTGGCTGGATTATGTAAAGGGCAAAATTTTAAAATCATTCTCTTTGTGGTTTGCAAAATATTCAAAAAACAAATCTTGAAGGACGAGAAAATGACTATTTTTTTCCCTTTAAGTACTGAATCACTGAAAAGCCATCCTATATACTCTAATGAAACAATTCACAAATCCATCTATTGGTATCATACTGGCCAGAAAATGTTCTCTCATTTCTTCTATGCTATGCTGATTATTTAAAGCTTTTAACTTTAAGTCTCCAAAATATCTCCACTGGGAGTTCTAGCATCAAGAAAATATGTGTGAGAAAAAATAAAGTGCAATAATGTGTACAGTTGAACTTGAGCCCTTTTGAAGATAGTCTGTCCTACCATCCTGCAGGTACTCAATGTAACTGCCATCCTCATGACAAGGTCTGTATCTTAAAACTGCTAATTTTCTACTGGAGATTGAGAGTTTCAGCTATTTCAGTATATACCCATTACAACTGGGTTATTTCACCAAGGATAGTAGTGACAGGGCTGTGAACATGATAGATTCTGTCCATCTGTTTCAGGAACATGCACACACAGCAGCTACTGATCTTGGCTCTTCATACCATCTTCACAGAATCACAGGGAATCACAGAATGATTAAGGTTGGACRGGACCTCTAGAGAAAATCTAGTCCAACCCCTGTGCTCCAGCAGTGACACTGAGAGCATGTGGCACAGGGTGGCATCCAAGCAGGTTTTGAAGACCTCTAGAGAAGGAGACTCCACAGCCTCCCTGGGCAGCCTGTTCCAGGGCTCCGTCACTCTCACAGTAAAGAAGTTCTTCCTCACACGCAGATGGAATTTCCTGTGTTTCAACTTATACCCATGGCCCCTTGTCCTATCAACGGCCACCACTGAAAAGAGTTTGGCCTCTTCCTCCCTACATTTACCCCTCAGGTTTTTATACATATTAATCAGATCCCCTCTCAACCTTCTCTTCTCCAGGCTAAATAGGCCCAACTCATTCAAAATACACTCAACTCATATTTGCAGTCTCTCAAGAATACATAGCACAAATTTCTTGGATGTTTGAACTGCAAATTATCTTCTCTCTTTTAGTGTAGCAAGAATGGCCCCCATGGAGAGCTCAACTGTTCAATTTGAAATCATCCCCTACAAGACTGGAACCAGGCAGCTTCAGGTGGACTTGGTGTGCACTCATTTTTCAGCTATTAAGGGATTTGTTACTCTTGATGTGGCTTCTGTTCAGTGCTAAAACCTGTGCATCAGTTCATTTATGTCTTGGTTTATATTATGGGTAGAGTGTTCAAATGTTACGATCGGGAGCACAGAAGYACAAATTATTCAGTAATGTAATCAAAAGTGCACCATTAAATCAATAAAAAACTATCATAAGCTATACTGTAAAGATGATACCTTTTTCATTTCCTAACCTGTTTTATGAATCTTCAGGAATCAAACTACTAATGGAAATCATAATATAACTTAACTTGAAGGAGAGAGTCAAGTGTGAAAGTTTTCAGTATTACAAGCTTACAATAATGATAGCAACTAGATTTTCAAGGAAGAACATTTAAAATGACTGGCTTCAGAAGCTTCACTGAATATAACTGAATTACATTCATTAATTATTTCTAGTTTAACATATGACTAAATCATGCATCTCAGTAGGGGAACTGTGAATAATATTGTTTATTGAATAATATCTTATTTTTCCAATCATTAGAAGTGCCATTCTAATAGCATCATATCTTATTGCTTTTCCTTTTAAAAACTAGCTGAAATGGCTAAATCAATTTTAGAATTGAATGATCAGTTCCTTATTCAGATCCATGATCTGAATCATGAGGAAGATTTTATGGCACTGGCATCTGAATCCCAGCAATATGTCCATGCCTGGGAAAGACAAGACAAGATACAACAAACCAAATGTTTCTAAGGGACAATTGCCTCCTTTCATCCTTGCAACATCTAGAACTGCAAAGTAATGCAGTCTCAACTGCTCCCAGAAACAATGTGTCAGGTTGATTGTCATACAGATGAAACTGAGACTTCATTTCAATTCCTTTGATTTAAAGGCAGCAAAATCTTCAAAACATGTGAACTCTAATTATATCAACTACAATGTTTTGCCACCCTCAAATATCCTTATAAAGAACTCTGAAGCTTGTCAGAATTAGTCGAGTCAGAGAGACTGGAATGAAGACTGCAGAGGGCAAGTACACACATACAGGAATTTAGATTTCTCCAGGCAAAGGGGAGGGGAACTTTGTGGCCATTAATTAAGTCTAACAAGGATAGCAAGCGTGAATACCCCACTCTTCTAAAACCTCAGAAAAGGCTTTCAGGTAGTGATTGTATTCACAAAATATCATTCAATCTTGCAAGAATGCAGACTCTCATTACAATTAATGCACAGTATAGCCACACCATTCCTAGAATCCTTCATAGAATCATAGAACCCTTAAGGTTGGAAGGGACCTCTAGAGGTCATCTAGTCCAACCTCCCTGCACAAGCAGGGTCACCTAGAGCATGTGGCACAGTGCGGCGTCCAAGTGGGTTTTGAAGATCTCCAGAGAAGGAGACTCCATAACCTCTCTTGGCAACCTGTTCCAGTGCTCYGTCACCCTCACTGCAAAGAATTTTTTCCATAAGTTCCTGGAGAACTTTTGATGCTTTAGTTTGTGGCCGTTTCCTCTAGCTCCATCAGTGGCCACAACTGAAAAGAGGCCACCCCATCCTCCTCATTCCCTCCCTTGAGGTATCCCCTTATCAGATCCCCCCTCGCCTTTCTCTTCTTCAGGCTGAAGAGGCCCAGCTCTCTCAGCCTTTCCTGATAGAAACTTCCTACCAGGGAAAAAAAAAATCTGTATTTATATTTATTGTACTTTTATGTATTTTTAATTTATTTCTATTTATTATCACAGAATCACAGAATATTTAAGGTTGGAAGGACCTCTACAGATCATCTAGTCCAACCTTCCTGCTCAAGCAGGCACACCTACAGCATGTGACACAGRGTGGCATCCAGGCAGGTTTTGAAGACCTCCAGAGAAGGAGACTMCACAACCCCCTGGGGTAGCCTGTTCCACTGCTCTGTCACCCTCACAGTAAAGAAGTTCCTCCTCACCTGGAGACGGAACTTCCTGTGCTCCAGCTTGTGGCCATTACCCCTCATCCTGTCGCTGGCCACCAGTGAAAACAGCTTGTTCCCTTCCTCCCTGC